GCCAATCCTGATTGCCCTTGGCGTTTCGCTTCCCCCCCACCGCTCAAAAAGAGGATACTTCTCTTCTTATTTGAGCTCCAGTATATGCTAATGAGACATGGAAACTAAGAGAAGTCAGCTGGTCATTGTTCTTTTCACCTTGAGCTTAACAAGTGCTCTTATGCTCCAAAAGTCTCAAAGAATGGCTCCTTATAAGCTTTTATAAGCCTGTTAGGGAAATTGTTCTCACATGTTCACTTGGATCAAGTATTCGGAGGGCTTGAGTCACTTATGAAGGTTTGTCTTTTTTGTAGAAAAACAAACATTTACATAAAAGTTTGGAGAAATACCAGGAAATTTAACTAAAGGAGTGTACTTTAAAAGCACTAAAGGAATAATTGATCTATGCTTAAAATGAAAGCAAAGCAAGAAATATCTCTTCTTTAATCAATGTAGAAAAAGCCCACTGTCAGATCTTACAAAATCATGACGCTGTGAGACTAAGATCAAAACTCCATACAGCTACTTGATAACAAAGTGTCCTGAATCTGTTCTGAGATGGAATTCTTGCCTTAATTGTTAATATTTTTATTAATATTCATGTAAATGAGAGGCTACAAGATGTCAAACTGGAGCTCCATGACTTGTAACAACAATCTGGTTCTTTTTTTGTTTTTTTCTGACTGGTGAAATGACAAACTGTAGACTTGAGCTAATACTAATATATAAAGAGTATTCACTACTGTCCAGTTTGACAAAATATGGACAAAAAAAGTCATCTACAGAGTCACAAGGCCACACTACTATTGCTGCCTCCCTCTGCTGTTTTGTTATTTATTCAAAATAATGAGCAAACAATCCCGTTTCAGCTCTCCAAGAATTGAGAAGTTTTTGCAGTTTAAGATTTGGTTGCATCTAGCGCTTAAGTTACATCTTGCAACCAACTCACAACTTCAGAAGTGTGCAGGAAATCTAATTTCTGCTAAAAAGTCACTAAACACCCTTAGTAACACAGAACATGACTGTGTTGCATTCAGGGAACTCTCGGTTAAAACATACACGTCTTGTAAAAGTATCAACATCACAATAAGCGATCATTTCTGTCGTTTAAACACAAACTTAAGGATTAAAATTCCCGTTGGCGCCCTCTGTGGACTAAGCACAACTTGCTTGCCTTGTCATTTACATGCTTAAGTAATAATTCTTGAATTATAATCTCATCCTGCTGACTTTTGACAGTAAAACGTATGACTTATTGTGGTTATTCTATGTGAACATTTTAAAAGCAAAGCTGTTTCCTCTGCTACTTGGCTGACACCGAGGCCCTCACACCAGTTTCAACATTTAAAGTTTTGCTATAAAAATCTTCTGTCTTTTATTTTTTCTTTTCTGTCTTCTATTCTATAAACAAAAAGAATCCTCATGGGCATTTTAATAAAGTATTCTTATTACTGATTTTACACGCTGGCCCCTTAAGGTGTCCCTCTGAAGATTTGCTATTTACAAAATCCAAGACAGACTCAATGCAAGCCTTTGAATACCCCTGAAAGTGCTGCATAAAATTCAGAATGGAAAAAACACCTAAAAGGAGATGAGTGAAAACAACTCCTCAGTGTGCAGAAAGTGTGAAGAAACATGGCAAAAGTCTTGGCCAGTAAACAGCCAGGAGAAAGAGCTGAGGGCAACCAGGAGAGAGGGAACGAGTAACACCTGCTTCTCCTGAAACAGTCACCCCAGTCACGAAATGACCGACTCTGAGCCTAACAGGCCGGTCCAACACTTCAGTCCAGGCTCTTTACAAACTTCAAACTGTGGGTCTGTGTGTCTAAAGAGCTGAGGGAGCAGAGACACTGAAAAGGGCAGGTCAGCTAATTTCTGTGACTGTTAATGGAGCTCTTCACCAAGGAATGAATGCTCTAATGTTACCAGTATCTATAGTCTATTTGAAGTGATGTGGCAAAGTACTGAACAGATAAGGACACCTATCAAATCTCCGTTCCCAGACACTGGCTAAAGCAATAACTGCTTTTTTCTATTGATAATTCTCAATACAATCACAGTTTTTTAAATTCCAATACTACGTATAAATTGTCTTTGACTTCAGAGCTGAACATAAAATATCTATTTCATAGTTCGTTATAATCTCTGTTGACTGTGCCCTCTGGTCGCTCAATTCATCTTTTTTTGATACCAAACAACAAGGACATTTGTAGTTTTATAATTATATAGACTAACCACATACGTCTATATAAGAATTGTAAATAAAGTAACAGTAAATAAATTACTGTCAACCTATATTAAAACATTAAAGCCTCTAAATGTGTCCATAAAAATGACCCCTCTTGGCCTTTTCTTGGTTATAGGTGTTTCTGGTAAATGACCGCTACAACAGGTGGTCCTGTGCAGAGCTCACTTGCTCAGGTTTCTCTCATTTATGTTACATTGTGTTTGTTTACAGCAAAATCCAGACCCAAGTTAGAAACAGGGTCTTTCTATTGCCATATGAGTGGATCACTCAGTGACTTGACTTTGGGCCTATGAGCTGTAAGATGTCAGTGCAAATTACTACACCTAAGGGGATATTCCAGAGTGAAATTGATTTAGGGTCAAACACACTGTAACACCGAGTTAGACACCCACTGAAGAGATGAATGTTGGCCTGAAGAGATGAATATTTAATGTTTGCTTCTCTAGTTATACCAACTTAGTAACGACCGCAGGATAGCATTACACAGCAGTTTCAGGAGCCATAGACAAACCTCAACCAAAACGCCACTCTATAGCCACAAATAATGCTCAGAACAGCACCTAACTTCATCAACAGTACATATAGGGTCCTAGCCATAGTACTAGCCACCAAACATCTTTTTAACTTTGCCTAGTTTCTCTAACAAAGAGACTAAAGACAGCTACTTAGTTTCCTCCAGCAGCCGCTTGTTTGTCGAGACCTCGGGCCAGTCCATTACGGACTGCTGTGGGGTGACGCAGCTCAAGGAAGAACATTTATGATCGTTTCTTCGTGGAAATGCAATCAGACCGAGACGCTAAGGCAGAAGAACTACCAAAGCTGCCGTGCAAAATGATTAATATGGTGATTATTACTTAAAGAAAGTTATAAAGAAATGGCGTCCTCACTGACAGCGGGCAGCGCATGGAGCCCCATACACACATAGGTTACGCGCCAAACATTTCCCTCCCCGCCAGCGTCGCTTTTTACCCTCCAAACAGCGCTACTTTTCCTTCTCCCTTCTCTGTTGGATAGAGTAACCAAGAGTGCACACTTAGAGCTCTATCCGTTAACCTTAACATACATTTACATAGATATTCATCCCTTCACTTACTTGCCGGGCGTCCATTCACGCCACCATGCCAGCTCAGGTTTTCAAATTAGGAAACTGAGCGCGCGATTTCCGGGTGTAAAATAGGTGGGTGTGGCGGGTCAAAGTGGTCACATGATGCAAGAAAAATTAATTCCCTTGTTGTTTGCTGCGAATCCGTAAAAATAATGCTCCATTGATTTGTGTAAAAAAATTAGTTAAAATGGCAAAAACTTACAGGAAAAAGATCTGGAGGTTAAATATGGTAAAAGTGGTTTAAATGTGAATAAATGAGTTTTTTCTCTCCAAACCTATGTAAATGATAACTTCCTCTGGGAGGGGCTAGGAGGGGTCAACAGAGGGCTTCCTGGGCATGTCTTTCTGTGAGTCTGGAGTTTGTTGTATGGAAGGTAACTGCCAAACTGATTTTTGTAGTGCTGTTGTGTTTCTGTTTTTTTTTCTCTCTTGAGTGAGAATCTCAATTCAAGGGTAATTATATGATTTAATAATTAGCTATGTGCTTTAGTAACAATAAAATGGGTACACAGCTGGTTTCCCACCATGTGCGCTGCCAGGTTTTTCTGCCCTCTAGTGTTGAAGGGGCCATTGTTGTGGATTATTTTGTACACAATATTTAGCTCTGTCATTTAGCAGTGAAATCATACACTTTTATTTAAACTGTATGATTAATTATATGATTGATATATAAGAATGTTTCCTTCTTTTACAAGGTACATATGTGAATTATAACAACAGTGATAAGTGAGATATTTTGAGATGTTCCAATATTACACACGTTTGTAGAGCCAAATATTTGAAATCTGAGGTCGTACTTAATTTTCATGAAGCTATAGTGAATGTGTGTTTTAATGTCCACTTTTACTTTCCTCTTTCAAAGTTGAAACTACAGCAAGTTTTTAACTCTACGATGCAACATTTTTCAGCTGTTATTGGAGATAAAACCCTGTTGGATTTGATGACTATCACTACATTTTCTTATTAATTTATTGTCTTTGTGTGTCCTTGAATATTGTTTTGCTCCTCACTTTCTTCTCTTTATAATTCTGGTTTTATCTGGTTTTAGCAAGCATCTATTTCTATTTCTTTCTAGACTATTTCTCATCTAATGTCCATCTGTCAGTTTGAAATGTCACTTCCTGCATTATTTGCTGAAAAAAAATCAATAAGCAGATGCATTTCAGATATTATTGAGTAAACAATAACACCAACAGCCATCATGTGGACCCTAGCCATCTTATTTTGCACCCCGGTTGATCAATAGGTAAAACGTTCATGTTTAATGTTTTAATATTTCAGAAGGTTTAGCAAAGATTGATTTGATATTAGAAGAGACCAATCACTAATCACTGTCTCACTAATCAGAATCACTAATGCCATGTAGCTGCAGCAGAAACTGCTCAGATTTCAATTTGACAAGAAAATTTGTTTCAAGACTGAATAGAAAAGTAGATGTTTCAAAATGTAAGTCTGCTCATCATTAAATTTCTTCTCCTCACCTCTGTCTTTAATTACTAAGAAAAAATGTAGCTGATCTTGGATGAAATAGCTTGATAACCATCTTTATAAAAATCTTTGACACTGTGTTTCCATCATGCAAGTATGCAATATCATTTCTTATAAAGAACAGTTGCTGAGCACTGCATGTACTGTCCATTGTGCAAGAAAAAAACACATACCAGGATAGAAAGTTTGGTCATTCAGAATGCCATTTATGTCATCAACTTGTTCAAGGGTCTAATACAAATGCATACACATACATTTCACCACCTAAAACCACATGGAACCACTACTGCAATAAACATCACCGTACAAATAGAAAAAGAACCAGAGGTTGGCTTTCAAGCTTGGGAGGGGTCATGAAGAGTCTCATGCTCACAATCAAGTGATACACATTCAAAAAGAGCAAGAGTATGTACACACACACACACACACTCTCAGGCACACACACACACACTCTCACTCAGGCACACATACACACAGAGCTTATATAATACAGCATTAAGGAAGAGTGGCTGTAAAAAAGGCATATGGAGGGAGGGTGTAAGTTACAGTTTACAGTATGAAAGGTCAAAGGGTAACAGCCAAAGTGTACATAACACATTTTTACAGTTAAGCCAACTTTACTTAATATAAATATTCTTCATCCAAAAGTCAGTGCAGTGCCTTCTGCTCAGGCTTCACCTGGTCCTCATGCTCATCCTCTTTATGCCCAGTCTGTGCCAGACCTGGTCCAAAATTTACTGGTTCCACTTTACACACAAATCTTTTTAACATCAGTTTTGCTTCTGATCTCCCACATTCTGTATGGTTTACCTGTGTGTACGTGTGTGTTTCCTTTTTTTTTTGCCACCCAGTACCTCAAAAGTCCAGCTGTGAAGTACACGAGTCTGAGTTTTTTTCTTCTAAACAATTAGCCAATAGAAAAAGAGACCAACAAATTTACAAGTGTCCATTCTTTTTTTTTCTCTCCTGAATTCCCTTTAGGAAAAAAAAATAAGTTCACAGATGAAGCAGCTCTACTGGATTCCCCTGAAGAGACACATTGCAAAGACCATGGCGAAGAGCTATGGAAGAAAAGAAAAAGGAACGATTAGCATACTGGAATAAGACAAACAAACATACCCTTTAATGCCTTTTGTATCATATTTAATACATAATTTTATGATACTTCTATCAAATCAATATTATCAACAAATCACTAAAAAAGCACCTGAATAGAATCCGATAAATAATAAAAATGTCCTCTTGTGGTTTATCAGTTTCCAAAAACATCTAATGCATCAAACAGGATAAATATATATATTTGTTAAATTTTAAGGATATTTTGATTTTTTTTGTTTTCAGAAGTAAGTAAAATAAAGATTTCAGCTCCAAAAAAATGTATTTTCAGGCCATAATTTGTGGTTTTAGACGTTAAAGGAATATATTGATGGTATCTGGTATCACCAAGTTGCACCACTAGATGGAGCTGTTGCTAAACAAAAAGCACGCGACTAAGCATAACACTACCTATATTTAGGCCGGTACCTTCTGCTTTATGCAGAATCCCAAATTTCTAAAATAAGCATCACTGGAGTAACAAAGAAGATGCTGCACATGTGATGATTTCACCAAAATGAAGATCCCTCATACCTCAATAGTCAGCACCACGATGGCCAGTGCTCCAGCCACATAAATGTACAGTTCAAAGTAGTCAACGACTGCAGAGTAACAGCCCTGTGGACACACAAAGACATTTCACTCAGGAGATAATCAGAGGGCAATAAACTTTGCAGAATTACGGGGACAATTAAAGGAACATCGCAGCTTCAATCGAGTGAGGATGTGCACAAAAGGACTGGCTGAATGAGGGGGAAAGTGGGCTTCCAGCCTTGGTGCCTTATAATGAGGCCTCTTTGTGTGAATGAACAGAGGCACACATTGTGGACACCTTGCATTGTTCTTCTGGCAGGAAAAACAACAGGTGGAGAGTGCGGTGAAAACCTCTTCCTATCAGCTTTCGCTGTAATTACATTTCACTCCGAGGCTTTCTTTACACACACGGAGGAAGGGATGTGTGTGGGCGTGTGCTGAAGTGTGAAGCACACAATTTTGCACATATTCATACTCTTATTATCCTCTGTTTTTGCACACATGTATTCTCTAGAAAAAATCCAATTTGGCATGGTATGCACAAGCACACGCACACACACGCACTTAGATGCATACACACTGTGTCCACACATGGCAAGATGGCCTTCCATGACACCCACAACATGGAGAAGCACTAATCAGGCATGGAGGAGTCAGGCAGCCCCTGTGTGTCACCCCTCAGCTGTCTCCAGCTCTAATTAAACCTGCTGGAGGATTGGGAGAAGGCAAAAGGAGGAGATTTCAGGAGAAGATGGCAGAAGTTACCTTGTTATTGCGGAACATCATATTTCCTGATAGGCACTGCTCCAGGGTGATATGGGCCACCTCCTCGGTCTGAGTGGCACGCTGGCAGCAGGCTTCGGGCACCACATGTTTCTGGTTGATCACCCTGAACAGACTGTCCTTAAAATCCTCTGGGCTGTTCACCCCACAGCAGTCAAACTGGTGGGAGGAAAGAATAGGAGAGAAAGCCTTTATTGCAGAGTGCCTATTTGTGCACTGGCCTGTGGTCCAACCAAACCAGCATGAATATTGACCTAAATGTCTTGGATTGTATCTATAAAATATAGCCCTCTGACGCCTGAAACCCCCCTGACTCTGCAGACTGCTGCTAGACGCATTGAGCTGGTAAAAGCTGCAGTGTGTGTGAGCTCTTTGCTATGACGGCTGTGGCCTTACTGTAGTCATGATGGCATTCCATGTGGAGGTGAAGACATCAGTGTTGTTGTAGCCCTGGTAGCGTCTCTTCAGCTCCTTGGTGAAGTACTCTCTGGTCAGCTGTAAAAATAGCACGCAGGAGAACAGTTCACAAAGAGTTTGAGTACAGTTGGAGAGCAGTTCTGGATCAAAGCGGAGCTCTTTAAATGATGTTGAAGCACAAGAACAGAGAGCTCCTTTAAAAATGAGTTGTACTGGAAAAATGTTGTTTCGATCAATAACAATCTTGTGAAAAAAAAGGCAACAAAGAGGAGGATAATTTGGGAAGACTAAAAATGGCAGCTTTTGATACATAAATACTGACGTGTCTGTTACATCTCGACTGTAAGCACTGTTGGATAGAGATGGGAACGGCAGTTTTTTTAGATGTACTGAATCAATAGAATCAGTTCACTAAAAAGATTCGTTCAAAAGATTCGTTCATTAAATCACCAAATCAATCTGCGCTTGGTGGGAGGAGTCTGTGACTCCAACTTCCTGAACTGATACACAGCTGAACAGTTCAGGGTTCAGTTCAGATCAGATCATAGATTCTGGGACTGGAAGACAAGAATGTGTTGGTTTGACAAACAGGTTTGTAAAAATGAACTTGTTGATAAATCATGATGTTTTAAGTGTACTGTCCAATGGTATGCTATTTATCTGGTCTACTCAGTGAACTGGGCTCAGTGAGTGATTCGCTCACTGAATGTTTACCCCACAGTACAATCACAGAAGAATTCACACCGACCATTCCCTCGCAAATCGCCGCAATAAAAGGATCAGACAGTCACACATTTCTCAAACTGCGGGTTTTATACACTACTTGTTACATGCTGTGTCCTACTGTGTGCAAGTTGCTGTGGTGGAAATTTAGCAGTTAAAAAAAAAGTTAGCTTGTCCAAGTACACTTGAACACAACACATCACTATCTCCCTCCATCGCTCCTGTCAAGAGCTCGCTACAGCTGGTGAGTCTCACTCTCTTCTCATTACTGCTATCAAAACAACGGAGAACAACAGTTGCCATGAAAGTGTATCCTTCAGAAAAAAATGATTCCAGAGAGTGTAGTGCACTGCATGATTCGTTCACCAAGTGATTCAGGCAGCGAAGCGTGCGGTCCCTCGCTTGCTGGCTGGTTGCCGGGCAATGCTACGTGCTTTGGCAGCTGCACTGCTTTTAGTTCAACTGAAGTGAGAAACGAACAAATCACTTGAGGAAGTGATTCGATTCAGTACGTTCACTTAAAAGATTCAGTTCTTTTGAACTAATCGTTCGCCAACGACACAACACTGCTGATGGAAACAGGTGATCAAAGGTGAAGAAAACACCGTAGAGACTTACATGCTCCCGGAATATGAAGGCCAGGATGGCAGCAGCCAGCTCTGCTAAGAAGATGAGGAGGATCAGCATGAAGAACTGCAGGGAGACAAAAGAAACAAATAGAGAAAGTGGAGAAAGGTGGTTGAGTGTCAGAAAAATGTGTGTCAGTCACTTAAAAATCACATTCTAGCTATGCCTGCTCCACTCAGCATTAATAATGCATAAGACATGATGGCAAATAGCGGGGAATTTTCCTCTTTTGGCTTTCAGTTCCAGGCCTGACAGTCCAAAAACTAACAGACAGAATAATCCGCAAACATGCTCACAAACAAGATCAGAAGCAGAACTACATGTTGAATTTGTCAGCCGACTCACAAAGAGGAGCAGACACTTGTTTTCGCGGATGGCTCCGCAGCAGCCCAGGAAACCCAGGAGGAAGAGCATGCCTCCCATACCCAGGATGATGTAGACCCCTGTGAACAGCAGGGGGTTCGCCGCTACTATTTCCCTGAAGCCTGTGGGGTCCACCAGGACCCACACTCCCACTCCCAGGAGGAAAGAGCCCCCCAGCTGATGGAGAGAGATGAGAGAAGAAGCTGGGTTAGACAAAACAGAAATTGGCTGCATTTTAAAAAATTAATAGGAACTCAGTGGAGAGTTTCATATCCCCGGTGACATTCAAAACATTCAACAAGCTGTCATATAATGGAAAATAAAACTGGGCCATTTTGTCAGGAAACATGCTGGTAATGAAAATCTCTGAAAGCTTGTGGCAACAGTGGAGGGTAGATAAAAGGTTAGAGATCTACAGAGCTCTCCGCCTCAGTGGGGGGTGAGTGAAGATATCCACCCTGCTTTAGAAAACCCACAACCTACTGAAGACATGGAGGCTCCATCACTCCCATCCTCCCTCTGATAAAACCTCATCGGCAGCCACCGTGAGGCGACTCATGTGATTAAGAAAAGTAGGTACTGAAGTGTGTGGGAAGGGGGAGATCTGAGCCTTGAACACATCTCCCACAATCCCTTTCTTCTTGTAAGGGAGGAGAGACTCGGGCTCCTTTGACTGAACACCTCTTCACCCCAGAGGTAGACGTTATGGTAGCCATTTTGAAAGCTGGTTCTGCTGCTAAATAATAATAATAATAATACATTTTATTTAAAAGCGCCTTTCTGGACACCCAAGGACACTGTACAGGCATTAAGAACACAGTTAAAACACTTTTAAAATAAATAAAAACAATATACATGTATGGAAATGGACAGTTAAAGGGAGTATGCAGTTTGGAACAGATGTGTTTTGAGTTTTGATTTGAAGTGGGGTAGTGAGTCCATGTTTCTGAGATCCGGGGGGAGAGAGTTCCAGAGTTTGGGAGCAGAGCGACTGAAAGCCCTGCTCCCCATGGTGCTGAGTCGGGCAGAGGGGACAGAAAGGTGGAGGGAGGAGGAGGATCTGAGGGAGCGTGAGGGGGTGGCGATGTGGAGGAGATCGGAGAGGTAAGGGGGGGCAAGGTTATGGATGGCCTTGAAGGTGTATAGTATAAATGGATGGTGTAAAGTCCAGTGGGTGTGAAATGGCCATAGAGGGGAAACAAAAGGCTAGCAGAGTCAAACAGTGGATGTTATTGAGTGATGTTAACAGCCGAGTTCATTCTTTGCTCTGCTGATTGCATTATTACCCCGGCCTTGAACAGCCAAGTCTGAGCAGAGTCTCTAAACGGTTTGGTTGTGCTTAATAAAGCAGGAAAAGAGACTAACCATCTTACTCAGTCCCCTCCCCCTCGTCTTTCACAGACTCACACTAACAGGATTACTCTTGATTGTCTGATCAGGACTGATAAACTCAGGTGCCAGTCACTTAAGTCTGCATGGCACAGTGTGGCTCAGATGTGTATCGGCGCGCTGAAATCTAATCAAAAGAGAATTTGATAGAATCAAGATTGCCTCTGTGTAATGAAATGCAAATGTGGCTCCATTAGAGAGTGGAGCAGGGGCCGGTCAGGAGCCCATCTCACATCATTAGATTGACAGGATCACCAGAGATAGCTCGAGTGAACGTCTTCAAGAGAGAGAGAGATGAGCTATACTTACAAAGATGAGGAAATTGAAGACAAACATGAGGTACTTGATGCAGCTGAGACAGTCCCCCTCCATGGTTGTCCCCCGTGCTGAAGCCTCTCCCTGCCCCTGAAAGAAAAACAACAAAAAAAAAACCAACATTAAACACGCCACTTGATGAATCCTGCCAAATGTTCACAGAATTCCCATTCTCCTGCACTTTGGATAAGCATTTAGATAAGGCTGCCAAGAAAATAATACTCTGCGAAACAGTTTTAATGAGTTCTGCCACTCAAACATTCGGCACACACACATTCACACATGGGCCTGTCAGTTCATTTGGACCAGTTTCAGCTAAAAATCCCTGAATTATCCCTTCAGGCGCACTGTACCCACCATAGATTCTCAGCATTGCTTAAGTAACTACAAGTAGGGGCTTCATTGTGTCAGCCCAACCTGACACAACACATCTCACTGCACACTGTGACAACTTATGTAATTGAAAATGTGCTTTCCTAGTCAGATGGCCTGACTTCCAGTCAGCACTTCCACGTCTCTGGACAGATGGAGTCCCCTGGGCGTGTGTGACCTCAGGGCCTGTCTCCCTCAGAGTATTTTAAGGATACAGCTGGGGGGCCAGTGTGCATTAACCAACAACGTATGGCCTACGCCGTTTTCTTCTTCCTAATGTAATGAGAGGCAGGAGCCCTCTGCCTGACATCAACACACTTTCCCTGATGAGTGGAGGCACTTCTGGTTAATGAAGAAAGCCTGCCCTGCATTAGGGGACAACATGGCTGTCTCAGTGTCCGTGACCCTTTATACCTGTGCAAATCTGATGCACCGCAGAGCCTCTATTAAAGCATTTGTCTAACCTACCAAGCTGCAAATGAAGCAGACTTTCCCCTCAGGGAGAAAAGGAATCGACGGGGGAATCATTTTCCACGTATTCTATAAAAAACTGAAGTGGAAACAATCTGTGGAGCGGCTATAATTGCAGTCTCAGTCGAAAGGGAAAATTAATTATTTGGCAGAAACGACCCGGCACTCTCTGCTTTGTAGTAGTCATTATTAATTTGCTCTCCCGTAGTGATAGCCAGGATTGAGGCTGGGTAACAGGCGGATTTAAAAACCATTCTTCTGAGGAGTTTGGAAAAAAGATTTACACATCTCAGCAGCAACACACTGGCACTTCTGAACCGGAGACAAAGAAGTTAAAATGCCGCCTTTTCACTCCTTTAGCCTGCGCTCCGCAGCACGTCCATCAGATGTAATCTCCTAATCTCCAGGCAGTCTTTCCCGTGCCTGTTGTGCTGTCAGACAGCTCTCCGCTGCTCTGAGGCCGCAGACAAGCTCGGCTATGATCGATCATGCCAGCTTTGATTCCTGCTCGTCTTAGAAAGGGTGAAGGGCTTCTGCTGTCACTCAAATGTAATTCAGTACCGACCCTTTCACCCTTTAAGAAACTCATTTATACTCCCACGAGATAAGACTCACAACTGTCTCAAACTAGCGCTTCTCCAATGATTGTAAAACAATTTTTCACATGAGTATGACAACTGTGTGAAAAAGAAGGTCAAACCCAGATCTTTGGAGTCTATTTTTCTTTTTTATTGTTTTGTGTTTATTTTCAATGTGCTGTGAGCTCCAGAGAAAGTTTATTTATTTCCATCGCAGGCTTGTGTAATCTGCTGCGACAATAAACTGGAACAATGCTAAAGATGTGAAGGCAGTCTTTGTCTGCTGTGGGAGCGAGTTGACATAGAATATAAGAACAGTTCCTTCCCTTTACCACCCTGTGGGCTTATTATTTTTTAGCCTCCTCCCTTCCCGAGACACAGGGAAATTGATTTAGAGCTATAGTTAAACACCTCCTCTAAATCATAATGATATGCTTAGGTATTGATCACCCTCCTGGTGGTACTCTGAGAGAAACCGGCATCCTCTTCGCCTGAAAGGGATTTTAATTAACCCGTCCCTTTCCTAAGCCCTATAATGAGGGCACAGGAGGTCTTAATTGAGATTTGCATACATTATAGTCCAACAGAAAAGCATCAGAAAAGACTCTTTCTCATCCCTCTTGCTCCCCACAGTCAGGCCGGGGTCCCTGTGAAGAGTGCAAACTGTATTTACTGGAGCAAAGGATGAAGAGGTGGAACAGAGGAGGAGGGAGGAAGGAGGGAGGAAAGGGGTCAGCTGGAAAAACTCTCAGGGCTGAGCTCACATCTCATTCTCCAAACAAAACGTCTGATTTCTCTTCCAGCTTCACTCTTTTGCTCTTCGCTCCCATCCCAGGGTCGAACCGACTGTCAGATCTGGAGCCAATTTTCTTCTTCTGCATTAAAATGCATGGGCTGCTTAAGAATGAAATGGACTACTAGCCAGGCTTTCCAATAAAAAAGAAAAAAAAAACGCTGAGGCGCAAAGCAGCGTAGTATAAATCAAACTGCCACTGAGACCCTGGAGAAAGTGCAGAGTAAACAAACTGGTCTTTCCCATGTCTCCCACGGGAGCGCAGGTCCTCATCGATCACGGCCCGGCCGCAGATATCAGACCGCTAATTCTCAGTGAGTATTCTGCGGAGAACATTATGTGGACAAGGGGAACGTGGTTCACACTCCGGGAGCTGCGGCCTTGAAAAAACACGGACAAATTACTCTGAGATTAAAAGCAGATCTTCCTCAGGTGCACCGCTTTGCGAGGGCAAGCAACATGTCAAGATAATGTGGCTTTTGTTTGTGTTCACAGGCAAAAACCAACCTCTTATAAACAAACATGACACACACACACAGAGCGGAGAGGAATACTGCACTGCTGGAAATGAAGACAATGTGTTTATTAGCTTGATAAACTGTCTGGACATCCTCGATCTGACAAACCAAAGTGTCAGCCTTTGCCCTGAGGTATCATACAAATGCCAACTCCGTCTGCTGTCAGCTGCACCTCCTGTTTCTGACGTGCTGAAATGCCAAACAGCACTAAGACGCCGTTGTTTACTCCTGGCGAAGACTGATCCACAGCCAGCTTGGGTTTGTAGAGTCTGGCACGGTTGAGTTTGATTGTGGTTTAATGAGAACTGATCCTACATCAGCTTCATCGCTCCGGCAGAAGCCAGAGCTGGGTAATGAGGGCAAAACCATCTGACCTAAATTCTTCTCAGTATGAGAGAGGGGAATTCTGGAATGGCATCTTTTTTCATGCCTCGCTCAGAAGACCAGAAGGTTTTCTCCTCCACTTCCCTGCCCGGCATCCACACAATCAACCACGATGGTCATGTCAACTCACTATAATTAAAAGATAAGGAAGATGTAGCCCCACATTTGCAGTCCTCCATCTATATATAAATAGCACACCCTTGGGTAGTTCTCCTTGAAGTTGACACTTTCAGCACGATTAATGAAGTGAGTCCATATTCCCTCGCTCCACTGGCCACCGCCCCGGACGAATGGATCAGCAAGACAAGGACACTGTGTCTGCTCCTCACTAAACTGTCGCCATCCAACCCCTGCCTCCAATAACCAGCCCATTCATTTCATCCTGGGCATGAGCCTGCATAACAAATAATCATTAACAGCAAAACCCTGTTGAGATTCTAAGGGCTGGAACTTGACCCCTTTAAATGTCATTGACCCTCTAAATGATCACTTGTAGTTGAACCCCTGAGGACAGCACATTTTGTCCGCTGGCTCCTAATGTGATGGGAGCAGGTGTGCTTTCTGTCTACTGGATGTCACTCGAAAGCACTCTCCAGAGTGCGCTAATACCATTCGACAATGACACTGAGCGGCCGCATGCATGCCACATCAAGTTTTATCTCAATTAAAACCCCATTTTCATATTTCTCCATGACTTCCTAAATCAGCCGCAGCAAGTAAACACCCCAAAATCCGACTAAAGACAGGCTTCTCTGGCAGTGAGCAGGGCTCCCCTGAGGCGCACCATGTCCCTTAATGAACCTCCAATTAGGAGAGAATGAGCCCTGGGCTGTGCTGTCACACTGAGGCGCTTTGAAGTGTGCTGAATGCTAAGCAGCTAGCACACTGTATGCTGCTTTAGATGGCATACAGCTTGCAGACAACAGGGAACAACCACAGAGAGAAAGTGTATGAATGTAGCTCAAAGGCAGCGCAGCAACACAGGGTGTGTGTGGGTGTAGCTCACACAGAGAGTGGAGCGCACAAACTCAGCTGGGTTAGGAAGTTGGAGGAACTGTTTCGGCTCGAAGCTAAGGTCCTAATGTTGGTTAGAGTCATGAGGTTGAAATATGCATCTCCCCAGCAGACTTGATTTAATGACCTTTTTTTCCTGTTTGCAGAACATATACAGCAGTGGTGAACATTATCAGCATTATGGGTACTGCTAGTTCACCACAAAACAAACAATAAAAAAGTGGGCAGTCTCGGATGAATTCACTCTGCTTTGCAAAGCCATTTATCATTTCAGCCCATTGTTCACATACGTGCTGTGAATCCCGAGCAGTTCTTATCTGAACCTGTGAGTGGCGCTCTTCTGTCCCCATTCAGTTTGGAAATGAGTTTGTGTGAATCCCCCGAGGGCAGAAGTCCTCTGACCGGGCAGCTGACACACTCCTGAACAACAGGCTGATTAACTAGAGACGACTCCCAGAGTGAACAAATGCTCAGTCAGGAACAGAGCGGCCATGTGTTGTCAAACAGCACTGCAGGCCACATTCCTGGCATCCTGACTGGGCACGCATCCAGCTGTTCGGTCAGGACTAACATTTGCGTCCCATACTCCTACAGTGATATCGATCCCCCGGCTCCTTTAGATGAGATGGATTTGAAGGGGGCAGTGCACTGATAGAGGACATGTGATTGAGATGTGCTCATATGGGCTCCTATCGAACACAGTGAGAGTGTGTGTGTGTGTGTGTGTGATCCATGCTTTCTCAAAACACAGATTCTCACTTAATTGTGTCGGCACCTCTATCTGCCTGAGTGCAGATACAAACTGGCTTTGCAGGGCTGGATCAATACCCCAGCCCAGGCACACATGCTCAATGATGCATTGATTGCTCGGAGTTCCAGCTCTCAGGCCGCCGCTTGTCTGGCGGCGAGGACATGTGGTAGCAGCACACAATGAGCACATAAACACTTCTGTGCCGCCACCCGTTAAGACTTTGACTTTTCCCACGGGTAGCTTTGGAGGATGACACACTGCCTTTGGGGCTTTCCACAAAAATGAGTTATAACTCAATTCAAAACTAAGTGCTCAGTAGTTACTGTGGTGACAACAGGGGGAATTATTTCTCTGAAATCCTACTGTTACATTTACTGTCCTGCCTTCTTCTGTCTCCAGTGGGTTTTTCCCCCACAGTAGCAGCCAAAATTCTCCAGTTATGTCAGAGTAACAAGAAAAATAGTCTACATATTTCTTTTCTGATAAAAAGTTTTTTGAAAAACACAAACAATTATCTCACTGTCTCTTCAACATCCAGCATATGACCCTCAGGCGAGATAATTGATTGGCTGGCCATGTTCTCAATTTTTTTTTTCTAACTCAACTGAGCTTGTTGTTGTCTCTGCCAGATCTCAACATAAAGAGAGTTCCCATCACAGATGGCTTCTGCAGAAGTAAACAATGGGAGATTTGAGGAAAGACAACACTTTAACCTCAGGGGATTAAACACAAAAGGACACTTTGGGGGTGTAAATATGTACAGCAGCACAAAATACAGACAATGTAAGTAAATATATCACTAAAACCTGCCGAAGAACACACAAAAAACACTATCATGTTATAAATGATCAGAGTTTCGACCTCCATTTGGTTCAAATATAAAGTTTTGTGTTTTTTTTAGCACATGCTGGAATTTTTCCAACCACTTGATAAGGTTCCTAGTTTCCAAGGTAACCCGGATATGGGGTGAGAGTGGCCTTTGTCTGCAGAGCAGTGTTTAGCATCTCCACTCAGCACTAGTTCCTGTTAGAAAACAAAAGGGAGCAAAGCCGAGCACTTTACGACGGGGGCACAGCTCAGCCTGCCATTTGTCTAATGAACGATCACTCACACAATGTTTCAAGGGCAAATGTCAGATAGAATAAAGCCAGTCTCCCTCTAACCAGAGCCCAGGAGCTGCTTTATCATTTACTTTATAGTACACTCACATCTAAACCCAGTATACACTCAGATAAGGTTCACCTAAAGAAAAAAGCCAAGCAGCAAAAAGAACATCGTAACCCAATTTGTGTTTTCAGACGAGGGACTCCAGCATGATGCAAAGATTAAAACAAGCCTTGAGGATAGAACGTGTGAATGTTTGTGTTTCTGTGGGAGCCTCACATGAAAGAGAAACCACGTACACTGCCGATACCAGCATAGAAATAAACCAGAAGTGTGCTAATGTGTTGCAGTGTAGTCTTTTATCTCGGCTTGTTTTTCCCTGCAGTGGAAACACCTTGAACTGTTGTGATTATTAATTCAACTGTGAGACAAGAAGACTTGGATTGTATGAAGGATTTAGGAGAAAACTGAATGAATGTTTTTGTTTCATCTGAACTAAATTTCCTCCAAATCTGAAAAAAAAATAACCCTCTGACAGGACAAACTGGGTTTCTTTATTGTAGATAGAGTTTACCTGGTGGTCACGATTGAAATCAAAACATCCATCACTTTTTGATGACACTGTTTTCTAATCTGTTGTCGACAAACATGGGAAGGTTGATTTTCTGATTAAAACCCAGGAGCAGTTGCTTTCTGGTACAACACGGCAACATGTATGTTATCAGTCATCAGAGCTGCAGTTGAGTCTCATTTCAAAGGGACACATTTAGAAGTGGCAGTACTGCTCGTTGGAGCATAGTGACCTATTTGAAGCATTGTTTTTAGCTAAAATGTTGGGCTTACTTGAAAATAGTATCTTCCTCATAATTAGTTTCTTCTCCATGTCATAAATTGGTATGGCTATCTAAATAATTCTGTTTTTTAACACTTTTAAGTTTTACATTTCCAATATTATGCATCAAACTTAGAAAGCTTAACTTGACACATTGCTATCGTGCAGTCAAGATGGAGTAACTAGCGGTCAGCAAAACTCATCTCTTGAGGGAGTGTCTCACTCGGTGTTACGGTGTTTTGACCATGACTTTAAACTTTCGCCAGAATATCCCTTTAAATTGTAACAAACCAGATTTTATTCTAAAAAGCTTCAGAGAAAAACTTTTGGTTGGTGTTGATTTGGGGGCAGAGCTGAGTCAGTGCTTAAAGGACAACCGTCTCTGTGCGTGGGGCCACAACTCAGCTCTACATGTATAGATTTGTTTTTTAACAAAAAGACTCATCATGATTTATTTTGAAAGTCAATTGATTCATTAATTGAGAATGTTCATCTTTGCCATGAGTAAACAGTAAAAAAGTCTGCTTATGCATTGTACTGTAAGTCACCTATCCCACAGCACTGATTTCAGGGATTAAATATAACTTTTATGATAACAGTGAATCTTGTCACCAATGGTCGTGTTTTTTAATCATTTCCAAGTTCAGTCTGTCTCATGATTAGCACAGGGGGGAAGCTTTGAGCTTGTGTTTAAACCTATTAAAAATGTCCCAAGGATTTCACTTGACACTAACTTCACTTGTCTGTTTTTGTAGTCTTTATGCTTATATGCTATGACTAATTAAAGCTGATGTGTCTGGGTCCAAACTCCCCTTTAACCTCTCAATCTATACATGTCTACTGCTCAGCCGTGCCTGGAATACTAATGTTACAAATGCCAATGCAAATCAGAGGATAACAAAGAGCGGTGCTGGCCTGCTGTGATGCTTGAGGGACAAAAGCACTTGTCTGCCTGTTTGCAGGACCCGCTTCACGCTCTGGCTCTCGCCAGCAGTGCTCCTCCTGTTAATGGCAACAATGGCTTTGCGCCTGTGCTGTCAGCATCTCACTGAAAAGAGTCTGTCAACAAAGGCTTTCTGCTGTTTATTTCGCTGATTTAACATGTTTCTGCTGGAGTGGAAGCACTGCTGGATCTGGTGGAAATCAGTCATTGCAGAAGCCAGAAATTACAAAAGCTGTGGGAAACCAGAGTGAAGAAATGTGTTTCACACAGGGATAAGCAATGAAGATGAAAATCACAGGCTTTCCTCACTGCCATCATGTATGCTTTATTAATAGATAAAATGTTTCCATACCATGAGTATCCGCTTGTGCCTCTTTGTTCAGGTGAAGCTGATGACTTCTCTCGCTTTTCTCTCCTCTCCTTTTTTCATGGGCTGTTGGACACAAGCACAGGCAGAGAAGCAGAGGTTAGGATGGAGCTAATGAGATGAATAAACAGTGAAGTACCGGTGAGGAGGCACAAAAGTGGCACATTTGTCTTGGTATGCATAAGTCATTGGAGCAGAAAAAGACAGAGCTTTGGAAAACACTGAAAATAAAAATTCTAGGACACTTAAAATGACAGAGTTTGCATTTATTATGTATGAAGCGCTCGCTTCAAGCTGTGAGCTAATTTAAGACTGCAAGAGGGTTTTATCTGTGAGAATATTTCCCCTCTCAGCCTGAAGGCAAAATTAACATGGAAAGTGTAAAAAAAATGTACAGTCTTCATAGTAGCAGTCCAGGCCTGCATTTTGAGCAGGTAAAATTTTAATGTCTGCCTTGAGGTATCAGAACTCGTCTATGCTCTCACTTGGTTAATTATCCTTTATTGGAAGATCCAACAGACTACAGTCTCCTCATACAGCTTCTGATGTGACCTTGATGAGTGTCTGAACTCATGCATTATTCACTCGAATAAGAATACCTTGCTCACTCACCAGACAGCGCTGGCTTTAACCATCAACGTGCGATACGTCTCCAACCAAGTGTGGCTAATGACCATAAAAACACTTTAAACTTTTCCCTGTTTCTAAAGTGCTTTGCCACAAGTGTCTTTCAGCCGAATATAACGATGCAGCAATGAGAGCCAATTAAGCCGCTCGTATTCCTCGTATTCCTGGCCCGATGTGCAAAAATAGTCGGCTGCACGGATTCGACTGACAATACTTTGGAGCTGGTTTCAAAGCTCTGGCAGTGACAACTATGCAGCATCAAATATGGTGGAGAGCTGCCTACGGAGGCATGAACAGCATGCAGCGAGTTCTTGCCACATTAGATGGTGAAATACAGGCAGGTTTTTTTTTTTTCCCACTCTGACAGGGGCTGAGGATGGAGAATATCCCAGGAGTATTTCTGGCTGATTGAGCCAGCTACATCTTCCTGCCGACACACCATATTGCCAGCAGACATCAGATTCACCAGGAAGCAGAATCCAACTGACAGTGGCAGCGGCAACACAACCTCCCCCATACAGAATAGAGAAAGACTCTGATTACATCGAGCAAAGGCAATCAGAGCCTGAGTGAGGACAGGACAAATCGGTGAAGAGAGGAGATGCACTGGAATGATACACTCCCTTATCACAGAGCCTTGACTTCACACTGTATAAAGCACATGCTCGGGAGATCAATAACATCTCCACAGTGGCCGTGCATGCACGGAGAGCCAAAGAACAGAGATTTATTAGAAGGAGTCAAGTACAAAATATTGAACATATGTCTAAGAAAACCTATCCCCGAGCAGAACAACACTTTTATCCATATTGTTTTGGTTTGTGTTGACAGCAGCACATGAGTTTATAATCTTTATCCTCATGTTTGTAATGTGGTGCTGAGAACCAGAGTGTCCATATTTTACCCTGGAGCCTGTTGCAGAGGTAGCCTCTCCTGGACCCCTGTTTAGAGAGCTATTAGCTGTTGGAAAGCAACAGTGTTGAGGGTCTGCATTATTTTTGGTTCCCATGGAAACCTATTTACAGGAAAGTGGAGCACCAATCGGATAGCAAGAAACTCACTGAATCGGTTATGGGAGGGGGGGGGGCGTTGAGAAGAGAGATCGGCGCAGAAGGCTGAGAAAGCACAACAATAGGATGAAACCTCGAGGGGGGACTCTAAAGGCCAGGCCACTGAGGGTCCGACAAAGCGTGGGACAACTCGGCACCAGAAGAAAGGTTTCATCTACATCTGCTCAATGGCTTTGCTGTTAAATAAATCTCTCTCACCAGCTAGTCACTGACATTTAAGCCCACGAGCACTGCGGGCAATTTAAACATCAAGGCAGCCAGTAATTGATTAAGCTAGGCTGATATTTCAGGCTCTGACAATATCATTGCATCACCAACATCTATCCTGTGTGCAAGACAGTAGCACATTATGAATTACATGCTTCTACATACAGTATGTGATGTAGTTATCGCCAGCAGCTCAGCGGCAAATCACGAGGCGTCCGAGGAAAGTGAAAGAATGAAAAAGAAGAAATGACTCCTCTGATTTTATTAGAGTGCCCCTTGTTGGTTTTCTTGTACTTCTACATGTCGTTTAATATTCACCACACAGTAACCAGCGTGTGAAACAGGAGTCTAACTTGACTTTAAGGCCTTACTCTATGGACCCCAGTCAGACTGAGTCTTAATTATACTCTGTCTGCCATTAGTCTTGAATCTTTCTCAGTGGTTCCAACAAATTGATCTGGATTGTTTTGAACTGTATCAGCCCAGATCACATAGTGCATTAAAAACACAGTGGGGGGTTTTAGGAAGTAAGTGTGATATGAGAGAAATTCATGCTTTTAAATGATAATCACTTTTTGGAATATGATTCACAGATTCTAAATTGCTTGAAAATTATTCTTTCTGGCGCCCAGTTGGCTGCAAATTGTTTTGTTTATATTGTTCAGGGAGTAAAATTAGGACTTCCTGCTGCTGCAGTGTTGGTGCTCTCTCTTTGTTTAGCTTTTTTCTGAAAGTATCAGTTTGGATATTTGGTGTAATTATTCTCAGGGGTTTCAGAGTTAAACTGTTTTGGTTTCTCTAGGGTCTCTCTCTCTCTTAAACAAAATGATTTATTCACTAGTGAAGTTTTATAAATTTTCCCACTGCTGCTTTGGGTTGGATCCAATATTTTGGGCCCTGAATGCTTCTTCTGCAGTGGTGAGAAACCTGGACATTTTTCAAGTTTTCTGTTAATGTTTGTTTTTCTACTGCACACATTTCTTTCTGAATGAGGAATGACTTGGCTGACTGGTGTTATTGGCAGGAATCTTCTTTTCTTGTACTTGAACCCTTCCATTGAAACTTTTACCATGTTTTGAGAGTAACCCTTTCAACAACCATACACAAAATATCTGCCAGCACAATTCATAAACTACCATATTAGCTAGGAAATCCCTGATTGTGAGAAAAAAAAAAAACCTTTCATGACTAATTTTAAGAAAAAGACTAAAGACCAAATGTTATGTCCACCAAGACAACATCTAAAGGGATATTTCGGCATAAAATAAAGTTAGGGTAAGACACACCGTAACACCGAGTTAGACACCCCCTCGAGAGATGAATGTTACCGACCACTTGCTTCTCTAGTTATATCAACTTAAGCAACAACCGCACGATAGCAATACACAAAAAGCCACTCTATAGTCACAAATAATGCTCAGAACAGCAGCTAACTTCATCAACAGGACATCCACAGCACTAGCCACCAAACATCTTTTTAACTTTGCCTAATTTCTTTAGCAAAGAGACTAAACACAACTCACCTACTCTCTTCCAGCTGCCGCTTGTTTGCACGGAGACCTCCGGGCGAGTCCATTACCGCAGCGGGGTGACGCAGCCCAAGGAAGAACATGCTGCTGCTTTGATAACTATTACTTTTTAAAATTAGGCATCATAACTCTTCCTCAATTTCTGATAAATTAATTCCACATTTGTGCAACTTTGTTCACCATGTAATTCCATTTTCGTCTGTCTGGTACCTAACAGTGAGCAACAGCTGGCCTGAGCCACAAGGAGCACACTTGCCTCTCAGAGAAGTAGCACCATCCAATATTAGACAATACTACTTTTTTTCAGATGCATGAATGAAAAAACCTTCTATTAAGTACATACAGCAGTCTCTACCTAAAGCGCTATAGGCTTGGGACTCGTTTTGGTTTTTTTTCATCTCCTCAAGTCACCTCTTCCTGCCAATCAGGCGGGCAGTGTCAGATGTCAGGGAACAGCCGGAATTTGATCCGTGACACTTCCTCTTGGGACGGGAAAAAAACAAAGGAGGAAGTGACAATTCTTCCATCTTCACCTCGCAGCTGGGTTTGACCTCAATTTCTCACCAGTGTTGACAAAGGAAAACCTCTGAGCCGTAGACAGGCAACTCCAAATTTATAGATAACGACCTGTGGGGCCGTTTTACGCTCCTGAAACAAACATGCTGAATTACAAGAAAACCTGCAGCTCCAGGTGTCTGCTCTCCTGAGTGAACTCCAAGTGCGTTCTGACAGAGTCAATATACATCTTGCTGTAATATTAAAAAATGAGGATGAGGGTAATTACCGGTAGCAATATATCTCCTGAGCAGCCACTTTCTGCTTATGAGTTATAGTCTGAGCCCATCTGGATTTATTGGTGTAACAGTGTGAGTCAAACAGGAGAGATAAAGATAAACCCCTGTGATGGAGAAACAATCCCGGCTCTGATCAGGGGGCATTGCTCAATTAATCACTCAGTCTATCCTCTTAGCCTGCAGCTAACCCACTCTTTCCTTTGTTCTCAGCACTACAGAAGGTTACACACCAGGCAGGATTGCAACACTCGTGTGAAGAGCACACTTATCACAGCCAAAACATGCAGATCAAACTCATTTCGCAGCTTTCTTTTTTCTCAGAGTTAATTCTCTGGAGCTAAATGGGTACCCCAGTACGAAAGCAGCTCAGAGAAATGTGTTCATAAAGTGCTGTTTTGATCCTGATGAAAGCTGACTCTGTGTCCACCTCTTGGGTAAGTCAGCGGCAGACATTAGCCAGGCCTCTTCTCTTTGCACTGCCCCTATCTTTCACCTCAACAAAGACGCCCCCATCAAAGAACGATGAAAAGTGACTCACGCGGACCCTCTTAAACATCTGCAACCTGCCTCTACGATTACACAACACCAACTTCTCTGCGGTGACACGTTGATGAAGAACAGCAGCCGGACTACTTGTAGTTATTTTCTTTAACCCGTGTCTGTCTAACTTAACTAGCCGCCTCATACACCATCACACTTTCACCCTACTTCCCAGGCCCCAAAGGCTAGCCCCCCTCCTGTCTCTGAGGAGCAGAAGGAGGGGCCTAGGGGGCATCACAACACCGCTTTGAAGTCGGACGATTAAAGAGGAAAGACCTGTCGAATTGGGATGATGGGGCTAAGGTTGGAAGAGGGGGAGGATCAGAACAAGGGACAGGAAAGGCTGAGAATACTGAGAGCTTGGGGCCCCCGTGGGATACAATTAAGAGCAAGGCAAGTGAGCAAGTGAGGGTTACAAAAACACAGCAAGGATACCAGCAGTGCAGCCTTCCAAAGCAAGGTAGGAGTTCAGTACTACACGCATACACAGGAGGGGGCTGGGGCTGGTAAGTTCTCACCAGTTACTTCACCGGATCCCCACCCAGCCACAGGCCCTGCGAGCTGTCGAACACTCGCCCGATAAACATTTCCATCCCAGTTAAATCCTAAAACCCAGTAAAGCTTGAGAATCACCCAGTTTACAGCTCACAGAACCTCAAACTTAGAGAGGAGCGAGGATGACGATCGAAGCGCACGGCAAAGACAACACCAAAAATTTGTACTCACATCAAAGTGGAAGACTGACAGGACAATGAGGTGATTTCATGAAAGTAGACTTTGGCTAAGCAGATGGCTGTTTATAAACCGTCTTTAACACCAACATTTCACAATATCCAATAATTTTAAAAAACTGCAAAAAGGCCCCAAGTGCTCTAAAAAAAAATAACAAATCTGTGAGCCAGCGTGTACAATAGATAGCACCAGAGGATCACCACCCACTCAGAACAAAAACTACTCCAGGTTACTGAGTACCCTCAAAATGGCTAAGCATTTGTAGGAGCAGTCTTTGCTTGTTTTATAACCAGTAAAAATATTGTCTGCCTTAAACACGGCCTCGACTTGCTGCTTTTGTCTGCTAAAACAGTATGAGATAGTTTGCTTACCAAGTAACAATGTGATAAACATCTAGAAGCAAAAGAAATATAAGAAATGGAAACAGGTTCTCTGCTCAATGGGACCGCATGTAACTTGTTTTTATAATGAAAACCAGAGGAAGAGGGGCTTTGAGTTAGGACTCCACCACAAGTAAAACCAAAGCTTTTGTTCATGAACACAAAAGGCAAAGCCAAAACAGTGACGACTGGCTTTTTGTTCATCTTGATTTTGCTACATGATGACTTGGCAGTTCCTGTCGATCACATGGTTTTGAAGAGTTTAAAAAACAAACGTTGATGCAAGTGGGCTGAGGGGCACTGATCTCAGCCTGCTTGTTTAACATAAGTTCAGCCCTATAGGTCTGGTTCCCATTGATAATGGTTTTCACTGCATACCTAACTGAGCACACGCTGCAGAGCTCTCCTCTGTATTTACCCACTACTCCAGGGTTCAGATACTACCACTGAGTGTCTGTAATTGATTGATTAAACCCAGAAAAATATTTTCATTTGACTTATCTGAGGCACAGAATTGTTGTTTCAACCACGTTCAGATGAAGGGAAACAACAGTGTAAATACTGGGCTGGAACAACGCAACGACTTCCTTGTTTATGAGCACAAACATGTGGGTCACATTACTACGCACAAGTCCAAACACTCATTCATGGAGGCAGATGGCAGGATCGCTGCCCAGTTTATATCCGAGGTCTGCTGGTATTTTGGATTTCACAACTCTTTCATGGCAGTGTGTAATCATTGCAGTAATACAGCCATTTACTCTTTCATAAACAACACATACGAGGACAGGAAGCAACCTGTTGCTTCATCTGACAAACAAAGCTAATACCAGCAGGCTTTGCATCCAATCTACCTGGAATTTTCCCCAGGTGTCATATTGCAGATTGAGAGGCACCAAAGAGTCGCTCATAACTCGATAAACTATTGAACTAGTAAAACCTTAAAGCTCCTGTGAGGAGATTTTTACTGCTTATGAAACAGGCCCAATTTACCCGTGCACTGCAATATATTTATTCCAGATTCAGTTTTGATCCACACTCTTCTGTAATCTATTATTTCTGTTGTAATTAAGCACCGGCTCCTGCGGAGGCACTGAGGGTTCTGCCCTACTGTGATTCACGTTGCACAAAGCCCCTTTTCACTGAACAATGTTTTTTTATAGATCAACAACAAAAACAGTCACAACAATGGCAGGTAGTAATGTAAAGTGAGCGCCTACAACATTTAAAGCTGATGTTCGGATGTGGATGATGAACTTGAACAGAAGAAGTCAATAAAATTCACGAGGTGTGTGAGCTCTGTGAGGTCCTACTAAAATACTGCAACAATAAAAACTACCCAGCAACCATCTGAATGGACAGGACACCTACTGAGGTTTAGCAACCTATGGCTAAATCTAAACTTCCCGATCACAAACAAATTCAGCTTCATAACATGTTTGTCTTTAAACTGCTGTCGAGCTCTGTACATGCGCGAGGGATTACAGTCAGTGGCGATCTTCATCGGTAAGGACACCACAGTGTCGGTGAGATGGTAAACACACTTCAATCAATCAGTCTTCGTTTGTATAGCACTGTTCATACAAAACCATGTAGTACAAAGTGTCTTACGCAGCAGAGGAATAAAAGAAACAAAGAATACCTGAATTTACTCCAACCCAACCCCTCATTCCCGCCCCGTGATCTTAACACAACAGAAACATTAAAATTCATTCACTTGAAAAGGGCTCAATTTCATAGAAACAGGAATGTGCGCACTGAGAAAGCGCCGTTTTAAAATTAAAGATAAGGAAACACTATAGAGGTTAGGTTAAAATCTAAAAACAAATGAAATTTAAGAAATAATAAATAAAAAGAAACACCAAAATAGCTCAATAAAAGACGATCCTGTCTTGAACAACACTACGTCATACCTACGCAAAACACACAACAGAGGTCGCCCCTCCAAAGCCAAAACTAGCCGTTGAAACGAAGGAAGCTGTCATCAGGTCATAAAAGTCACTTCTCAGGTGAGATGGTTGAGTGAGGAATGTGTAATGTGTATTAGGAGATATTGTAATAAGAGATCTGGGTGTTTCTGTTAACCATGCACATTACTACATTGATATTGAAGCCTGTTGATCAATATCAATCAAATAGTGGCCCAAGGAATTAAAATCAAATGGAGTTGTGAAGTTCTTGATGAAACCCACCGACCACTGCTGCTTAGTCTGTTAACAGGAAACAAGCATGGAGATTTTGATTGTTACTAATATGGCGGAGCATATTACAGGTACAATCAGCTACAGGTACAATCATACAGGTTAACAAGAGAAAAGGTCAAATTTTTAAGTTAAAGCATAAAATATTAACAAGTTAGCATGAAAGTGTATAGACGCCTTCTTTTAAAGAAATATGCACATTTTACACCAGTTTTACTGATGTCTACTTCCTCTCATCTTTTGGTAAAACATGCAGGTTGTTTCTCCTCAGAGTAACTGACCTAAGTTTTATTTGTTCACGTTTGTCTTCCAGAGGCTCCCTGTCTATCAAGTTAAGGAAAAACTAGAAACAAGTCCTCTGCATTTAGGTGTATGTAAATGTTACCGAGGCAACAACAGACATGGTGTTTCTGTGACACACAAAGCAGCACAGCAAGACTGAAAGCCAAGAGAATCATACAAGCTGCACAGAAATACCAGCATGAGTTTTTGCGTAGAAAAATCAGTATGCAAAAGCACTTTATAGAAGAGAAAAGTTGTTGCTCACAGAGATGGTTAAGACTTGGAGGATCTTGCAGTAAGTTGTACAGGAGCAGCAGGGACAGTGTCCCACTGGGTTACAAGAGCCAGAAGCTTTGCATCTGGATCATTTCCTCAGCCCAGAAGGGCTCCACACTGAGACCTCCTCATAAAGCTGCACATGTACCAGAAAATAAAAAAACACCCTCTGAATCCACCATGTGTCCCGGCCTGTATGAGGCAGCTGTGGTGATAGCAGGTAACAAGCTGTGACAAACTCACAACATCACATAGAGAGAACAGCGGAAATGACTAACGCTTTTTGTCTCTCACACTGTCAAATATGTCTGCGCTAATGGCCAAATAGCTTGAAAATGTCTTTCTGCTTCTGCATGAGGGGCCGAAAAATGGTTTTATCACTCTTGTTTTTCAGCAGGGCCGAGTGAGACTGACGGTAGGAGGATTACTGGAGCAGCAGAAGATGAAACCAGGATAAAGAACTGTGTGAGTGAGACTTCAGTTCACTGCAAAATCCTTTAGATTCTCACTGATCTCCACATTGGATTACTCTGAGTCCAGTACCCACCGGACAGAGAGTTAAAAGACACCATTTGACGAGCTCTCCTTTCTGTGAGTGACTCCCAAGAGGAGGTAAGGAGGGACTGAAATGTGGAAAAAGAGGGTTAGACCTTTTCCAGGGTACAATCTTGTGAAAATGCAGGCGCGCTTTAAGAAACATTCCTTTGACAGGCCGAGGGAGCCACTGGAGGGGAGACGTCAGGAGAAATCATGCTTGGCTCAACACAAAAAGCACTCAGAGAAATGAGATTTAATCTGCTGAGCTTAGAGTGTATTAGCCAGATGTAAACACTCAGTACCAGCTGTGAGAAAGATAACCTCCACCGCCCTGCCGCCTGGAAAAACAATGCATAAAACATCAAAGATTACCAATAAAAGAAAAGTCTGCAAACAGAGATATTTAAAGGCCCAAATAAAAGTTTCACAAGCTGGGGACATGGCGGTGGTGGGAACACGGGTTAAGGTTAAATGGCGATAGGGAAACACTTTCTCCCGGCCTCCCAGCTGGAGCTGTGGGAAAGGGAGTTTATGCAATTACAACACATTGATTTATGGGAGACAGAGGAAAGATGGGGAGAGGATGGAAACTGAGCTGCTTGGAGGTGGGCCAAGATTAGGTCCCTGAAGAAACACAAGTCAATAGGTTTACAGCGCAAAACATAATGGATCGGAGACAATTGTGTGGGGATGAATGTGGTCAGTGGGACATCAGACAGGCCGAGGTCAAACCTGTTATAAAGCGATGGTTTGATTTAAGACTCAAACACAAGAATGAAGAAAGCAGCCTTAACTTTACCTCCGAAGGTTGTTAATGAAGCTGCTGGTGGAGCTGATTACAAGTTCTGAATGGTAAAAACACTCTGCAGCAGAGCGCATTTAAAATTCTCTCAACAACTGTCTTGCTTGAGCAGATGCTGCTGATGTTGTCTTGAGTATTAATTGAGGATAGTGATGAAATTCTGAGTAACGCATTCGAGCGTGTACTGCAGAGTTAGCAGGAGGCAACCTCGCCGTTATACATAAACAGCCCATTATGTGCTCTCCACTACTGTAACAGTGACCACAGCAGGGATGTCTATGGTGAAACACGGCTCCTCTGCAAACTTGACGTCAGGAACAGCAATCCTGTGAGCTGGAGCAAGAATTAAATGTGATTGATGTGCTAATCAGCTGTCAAGATAACTAAAGCAGCAGTTTGTCAAATTTCATCAAATGAGTTTGGCAGATTGATACCGTCTTTGCAGAAGAAAACAGAAATCAGAAACAACACACAAGCTCACAAGTCGGAAAAAAGAGGAGAGAAAAAAACCCTCATTAATTTTCCCGACATGAGACTAGTGTTGATACCAGCCTCCAAATGGAGAATATATGAACAAAGCAGGAGGAGATTACAGAAGATATTCGGCATAATGAGCTGTGGAGTAACAGGAGGAGACATTAAATGGTTTTGTTGTCGAAGTTTGAAAACTCTCCCGCTGTCTGCAAGGTCTGACGCTCGTCTGAAACACAACAGATCTTTGGTTTGTGCCAAAAGCAACAGAATAAATATATACACAGGAAGAGCCAGGCAAATATTTGGAGGCTGTGTTTTTAGAGCTCATGGTAGAGACTGGATTATCAAGGGTGAGGTCGGGGCTGTTCTGGATGTGGTGGTTATATAGAAAGCAAACCAAACCCAGAGATGTTTTTAGAAAGAGACGTTTGGACATCTGTTCCTCATTACATTAAAAAAACAGCTTGTCCAATTCCAACTGCCTGCAGAGATAAGCAAAAGTGGTTTTGGTAATTGCTCACAACTCTGGCTTCCTCTGCCTCATTGTGTCTTTAGTGCATCATTTTAATGTGGTGAGGTCAAATGAGATCATGTCCGACCAGTGACTGTAACTAAACATATTTTAGCATATAAGACAGAAATCAGAGTCCTGTTTTTTCTCTCTTCTGTGTTGAATCCTGTTTTGATTTCTATCCAATTAGAGCACCAGTTTGGGTCCAACAGCTGCACCACCGGTTAGGAAGACAAATGATTATTTTTACTGAATGGCTTGAGGGAAAAAGCCAGGAGACCCTCAACACACTGAGGGGTTTTCAGAATCACCCACAAAATTACCTTGGCTTCGACATTTGTGCTGAGGCATTACACATGGGATCTGACTCCTGTCAAGTGTTATCAGGAAATATGATCCGGGCATGTTTCTCTGGGACAAAACCCTCGTGGAAAAAAAGCCTGAATTGTCTTTTTTTATCCACAAACATTTCACCATTTGAAGCGTCAAACCCAGGTGAGCAAGACGAGGTTGGTCCACTTCGCTGTTGGACTGCCGTTCTGACAAATCAGTGGGAAACCATCCAAGATCACCTGACGTTCAACGAGAGAAAAAAAATCGTGACAGCATCTGCTCCCTTTTTTTCTTTAATGCTTAAATCAATGAACGCTGCAGCCAATTTCATTTCACACCTGCTGTGTCTGACTGTGCTATCTCTGACAAACACATGTGGAGGTGATTCCAGGAATCTATAGCCAGAAATGTTAAGACCTGGAGACTGGAAATACATTTTCCATGATCAAACTTCTTTAACAGACTTCAAATGGGGAAACAGTGGCTGGATTTTCTATGCAGTCGATTCTCCTTTTTGGCCTAAAGCTTCAAGGAAAAGAGGATATGCCGAGGTTAGGATTAGAAGGAAATGAATTATGCTTCATGGTGTGCATGTGTTTACTATAATAACTATTACAAAGAAATTTCACGGTAAGAAAAAAACACCCCCTTGCATCTATTTTTTCCTCTTTGCTTCCTAGACAACCATGGTTTCTTAAGAACTCCTTGTTGATTTTGATCCTCTGGGTTTATAAAATGCAGCACACCCCCTCCACAGTAATGGCAGTGTGGTTTTCTTATAGCTTTACCACATCAGCTAGCACTGACCGACTGTTTGCCCAAAGGATAGAGGCCGTGTTTTAGTGCACTGACCTGTGAACGTTGTCTCTGGGAGCGCGCTTTCAGAGTGGCGGCGGGCTGAAAATTTCATAAAGCAGCATCAAAAAATCATGAGGCAGTGCGGCACCCGGTCTTTGCTGTCTAATTGTTTCCCCCTTTGAGGGGTAAAAATAACCGTCTACAACATGTAAATTTGATCTGCTGTTAAAAGGAAAGAGGCTATTATTCAGGCAGACATGCAGGGGCCATTCAGGCGAGTGAATTCATCATCAAGTAAGAGCATAGTGGGAAGTTGTCCAAGAAACATCACTGTGAGAAACCAGTCTGGACTGCTAAAAGATACTGGGTCTATTGTGGAACCTTGATTAACTGCAGACACACAGAGGCCATTTTCTATTTCGACGCACACTGGGCAGGAAGCTCTAATTTGCTACAAGTTGGAAATTAATAAACATTTATTCAACTGTAGTCTAACATGTAGGAAAGAGGATTAGGGCCAAGAGAAGAGATTGAAGTCAAATTCTAATAACTCAAATTTCCACTTTATTCATCTCAACTTCAAAATTTCGACTTTAATCTCTGACATTTCGATATTTTGTAATCTTGAAATTTCAACTTTAATCTTGAAATTTCGACATTATTCATATTTCGACATTATTCACGACACTTCATAATCTCGAAATTTGAACTTTAATCTCCGAATTTCCATTTTGACATTGAAGTCAAAATCTTGAGATTAAAGTCGAAATTTAAAACACTTGAAATTTCCACTTTATTCATGTTGGCTTTAGCCTAAAAATTTTGACTCTGATCTCAAAATTTTTATTTTTTTAAACCTCAAAATGCGACTTTTTTCGGCGACATTATTCACGACATTTCAACATTTTGTCATCTCAAAATTTCAACCATAATCTTGAAATTTCAATTTTTAATCTCGAAATATCGACTGTGTTGACACAATTTTGATTTTATTGATCTCAAATTTTGACTTTAATCTCCTTCCTGTAATTTTTTTTTCTCTTCATGTGGCCCTTATTGTCGTTTGTAAAATTGTCACTGCCTTCCTGAAATTTATAACTTTTCTATCATATCTTGTGACACTTTCAGAGGGTATTATTTGCTTTAATCTAGTTAGCTACTGCCTACACGACATGAGCTAGCAAATTAGTTGTCAGCCACTATAATTTTTGCTGCTTCTGCTATTGGTAGTTTCAGCAGAAATGGGCTGAATGCTCATACTGACTGTTGTTTGAAAGTTAAACAAAAAGCCTTTTTATATGAAATACGACCAAACTTAATCTCACATTTACGCCAACAGTTGGAAATGGTAGACAAAACAGATGTTAAAGTTCAGCGCCCCTTTGTCCTTCACTTTTTAACCATACGAAGTGTCGTGGTGCTATTGTGGGCTGTTTACAGAAGGACACAGAGGAAACACTGGCAGAAAATCCTGAATATAAAGCACACCTGCATCACACTCAAACAGAAGAGGTGGTGTAACCTCAGGTGAGATAACATTAGCACATAAGCAAAGCAAACCCCGAGAGAAGCTCTATATGCACACAGACAGATGGCTCTCACTTACACAGTACAGGTTTATACACTATAAAGATTTTTCAGGCCAATTCTTTAACAAGCCAGCCTGAAACACAAGCGTTTATCTGGCAGGCTTGTGATCCTGGCAGGCGATACATCATTAGCCGGCCCTTCCCCCAAGTTTCCCCAGGTATACGCTGAAACCTGCTGTGATTTTCTTTAAAAATCAAACGCTGATGTGTCCCTTCAATGTTGTGGAGGCTGACAAAGAGCCCGTATGTCTGATGGACCTGTGGTGAGTCTGGTTCTGTAGGAAGGGCTGTAACTCTGCTGTTATTCTGCAGCAGCTGCAGGGAGTAGCTCTCTGGACAAGGTGTGTGGGCTTCAAAAGGCAGCCAGCCGAGCAGAAAGAAACATGCTGGGGCTTTAAAAAAAGGTGCTTACTCTCATATTGGCGTGCTATTTGAATACCAATGCATATAATCAGAATGCTGGGAAGAAAGGAGGAAGAGAATCACATTAGCCCAATTAAGTCGACAGAAATTTACAGCAATCACTTTAAAGTTAGATTTATAAAAGAAATCTCTGCTTGGCTCAGGCATTTCTGTGCCATACTAATGATTTGAAAGCAAAACAGTTAGCTTAGTATCAGGAAGACATAAAATCTATATGAAGTAAATATAAATAATCCTATTTCTGCCAGCTGCATGGCTGTGCATTATAGAGCTTTTTGTATATTTGTGTATTTGAGGGTTTGTTTCGCGAACACTGACTGGAACGACAAAGTGTTATTAACTGACTGGGATGCAAACTCAGATCAAGCTCAAAATAAATCTCTTAGTGGTACTCTATAATTCAGCCACATTGGAAAAGCCGGGACAGTAAACTAGGCCGTGTCACATAAACCAACCAACAGTCTTCTCTGTGTATATAAATATGATTTAATGGCACCCTTTTGGCTTCATACCACACCTTCCAATCATAACCCACACAGGATAAAGTGAGCTAATGAGCCAACATCCAGCTTCAACATCTGACATGCATTTAATTTGCTGAAAATGATAATGGGCTAATTATCTGGGTCATCATTAACAAGCTGCTGTCCATCCCTACAATAATTTGTGCACTCTGAATAACCTAATCAGTTTGTGGTTGGAGCAAATGTGTGTTTATATTTGTGGGTAACCATTATCATATCACATTATACTGCAGCCCATCATCAGTGATTAAAAATAAACAGGATATTTAGGGGCTCAGACCCCCTAAAGGCAGAGGGAGAAAAAACGCAAAGATGAATTTGTAATGAAAGAGGGCACATTAAAAGAAAACCCACATGACTAATAAGGGCATTCTTGTACAGCTATGTGCTTCTTATTCCACTAACAAGATGGAAGAAGCAGGAGCACTTGAGGACTGGAACCTGGAGAGGGGGGAGAGGTGAAGTGGAGGAGGAGGAGGATCGGGACACAGTTGTGGCTGGAGCAACAGAGGAAGAGAAAGACCAGAAGCTGGGAGAGCGTCCCATTTTGACAGAAAAAATGCCTGAGTCAGGAGACGAGAGAACCATTAGAACCAATGAGTCATAGGGAGAGGCTGCAAAAACAGATCTGGGTCGAGCTCAGCATGCAGTACCATCCTAGAAAAACAGCCAAAGATGAGCAGAAAAGTGATGGAAATGAAGCTCGGGGGTGTTTTGCCTTGCTGTGTGTGGTTTCATCAGTGAAATATGGTGTTAATAATCTCCTGCGAAACTTAATTCACAGGGTTTTTTTCCCCAAGGGCTGCTAACTACTTAGTAACTCATTGGCTACTGTCTATTTTTGGGTGGACAGACAATATTTCTGGTGCAAACTATTGGAAACCTGGATTACTGTTGATGGAGACTTCCTCTTCCTCTGCCGGTCATTGTCTGGAGTCTGACTGGCGACATGATACATAAGAATGGCATGGGTGTTGTAAGACAATGTCCAAGACCTTATCTGAACTGACCATGTCAAATAGTTTATTGGGATTGATTGAAAAAACAGTTACTAAATCTCAAAAATAACATTGAGGTTTGGGTTACAGGTTGTTTTTTTATGTACAATTTTTTTGACAATATCAACTGATCTGGATCCCCTTAAAATGAAAGGCGAAGGCATCAGTCCTGTCTGCAGTAAGGCTCAGCAATGACAACATCAAATGCTCTAAATGTCCATTCTTAAACTAACCGTGGTCACATCATGTTTTAAATCACCTCCTATTAGAATTTAGCCGAACAGCTCTGCTGTGGCTGAAATGTAGAGTCAAGACGGCAGGAAATAGCATGGATCCAAAGAGGGAAAAACCAGCACGCTGATGATGAACCCAACCACCCTCTCTCTAATCTTTTAGGTCTTTCTGCTCTCTCCGAGATATTTATCCTTCCTTTTAAAGTGAAGAGTTTGTTGCTTCAGCACAGCAGTCTTTTGTAAAATTGTTGTATTCAGTTGCATGTTTTTGCTTTTAGCTGTTGTATTCTATTGAACTCAGCTGCTGTTACTTTCCAACTGCTACCACCTCAGGGAAACAATCAAATTGTAAATATTGCAACTGGCTGTCGGACTGTTTTTTCACTATCAAGTCTGAAAGAGTTCCAGACGGCTGACATTTTAGCCACAGGGTGGCTAATGTTAGTGTAACAGACAGTTCTGTGTTTATGATTTGGCCTTTGAACTATCTGGCCCCGGAGAGTTGCCGTAGGCTGTCGTAAAGCGGTTGTTGTTGTAATCTGGCTGTTTGTGCACGTGTGTTTGTGTCATTAAGTTTGAGTCATGGAGGTCCACACTGATCCAGATTGGGACATTCTTAGTTTCAATAAATCATTTCTAACTTTATAAATCATCTTTAAATCATCTTGTTTATGTCTCTACTTAGAGTTGTGCTTGTGCTTAAAGAGATAAAGAAAAAGCTCAGTTTTGTCAGACTATACAGATCCAAGTAAACAGACATTTTCAGCTTCTTTTTTCACTCTACATGGACTGTCTGAAACAAGAAACAGGAACCAAAAAACTTGAAATTAAACATCTTGCCCCGACTTAAAGATTCTGCAGATTTTTGTTAATAGATATCAGATAATTATTCTTATGTATAAGCCCAAAAACATCTTAATACACTGATCTAAAGCTGCAATGCATTGAAAGCCCTCCAATTCATGACAACAAATGATGTAATGTAGCTAAACTGTACAATTGGTTTAAAATGGAGCACTTTCCAAAATCAGATCATTTTCCAAAAGAAGTCTTTGTTTGTTCGCATACATGCAGACCAAGACGCATGCTCCAGTACTGTACTTACAATGCTATCATAATTCTACTCCTACAATACAGACATCAGAATCTTTATCCAGAGAGCATCTTTCCTTCAGGGTTTCAAATAAAACCTACAATCCTCTTTATAAAAGGATTCATCTGAACATGAAGTCCTAATCACATCTCTCAGGAAGCAAGCAGTTTATGGAGAAGAGGCTAGTTCTTTCTTTAACAAGAGCGCCTTATGTATAAAAATGTCCAAACTAGCAAAAAATATCATCTACAGTGAAAAGCTCCAGTGTTCGAGTGTGGAAAACACTCACAAATGCATGAAATGAGCTCTTTCTCTCTGCTACTTGATTAGCACCCAGCATCCTCTGCCCAGAGTGCCAACACTGAGCCCAATGTGAGTCAACCAGCACTATTGTGTGAACCTCATAAAGAAATTGTTGACAGTCTGGCCAACTAAAAACAAATGCTCCCATTTAATCCACTGAAAGCAAAGAGCTGTGTGCTGCTGCTCTGTCATGGCCTTTGTTCACTGTACTTTCAGGCAGCAGCAGCAGCAGTGTGCTTCAACTTCTGCATCATTCAGTGGATCAGAGTTTTCTCCGGGCTCTTCAAAGCCAGGCAGGTAATCTCCCCGTGTCACATACCTATCAGTGTGCCAGATTCCCCCGCCAGCCTAAGCCCCTCTCTGAGCTTTGACTACATCTGGGGGATGAAATAGAGCAGGAAGTGAGGACGAAACCTTCCGGCTAAGGCAGAAGGATTTACCGAGTGTCCTCGCTCCGTTTAATGACCAGCAGGGCTTCAACATCAGCCTTTAATGGACACCTGAGTGACACGGTTTATTAGTTCTGAAAAACATTATGCGAAAGGGAAAGATGGCTGGAGGGATTTAAAGATAGATGTGATTTGAACATCCTGGAAAGGGGAACTGAGTGAACCCTCAACTAAGCACCTACTGAGCCAAGGGCCCGTTGGAGAAAACCCGCTATCTGCACAGCCCAGCTTGTCAAATACATACCTTTTACCTCATTACCTGCTCAGCACAGCCATTATGGAGGGAAATAGGGTGAATGCGAGATAAGCACAAAGAATTTTTAGGTCGAGCACAAACAGCCGGCCTGCTTCCTCCTGATAAAAAGGAAGCGTCAGCAGAGAGAGGCCCCTCAGCTTCCTGCTCTTGGTATACTCTGGGGCTGCCAGCTGCCCCATGCTTAGGTCATTCCCTGCTTCCTGGCCTGGATGGAGACACGCATGGGCCAAAGGAATGCAGGGACGTGAGAATCTTACTGAATTATACAATGTCGAACTTATCTGCTCGTAGAGGAAAGTGACCATACTGGAGCTGAGCCAATTCACTTTTAAGACAGAAAACTATACAGACTTTTCAATTAAATTAGCACATACAGGATGTAAAAATGGTAAAGGGGCCTTTGTTGATTGTGGGCTAGTTATGCATTGATAGGGCTGCATGGCAAAGGGAATGAGAAGGCTTCTTTATCAAACATACAATGATTGAATGAACAATGGTGTCTATTGAACACATGTACCAACATGAATGTGAAAGGCTTATACTGGCCAATGATATCAGCAAATTGATTCATGTGATACATAAGGGAGTAACAGTACTCCAGAATAGGGCTGGGCGATAAACCGAAAATTTACCGATACTGAAATTTACGACAATAATCAACGTCATTTTGCTCATGTTGATATATTTGGTGTCTAAGTATTCAAATAAATAAAAGTTGTTTTGGATGTGTGTAGGTAGGCTATGGTCTCGTTTCCCTTTAGCACACTGTCCTACATCAGAGACGTGACTCCACCCCATTCAGTCCGTACCAAAGAGGGAAAGACAGGTGAGGAGATGGAGGACGGTTCAAAAGTTGTAGCTGCTGGAGCGGCAGCTGAAGTAGACGAAGTTAATGTGAAAGGAGGTGAGCATCTTGTGGAGTAGTTATCGTCCATTTATCATTACTGAGGTGAACAGCTCGATATATCGTGATATTGATTTGAAGCAATATCACCCAGCCCTACTCCAGAATATTATTTCATAGTTTTAGAGGGATTCCTTCTGAACCCACCCTCATATTTAGCATTTCAGAGCACTGTTTTAACAGCACTCACCATGTTTACATCAGTAAGAGAGCTACTGTTAAAAGATAAAACTCCATCTTTAACAAGTTACCAGACTGCTTTAAAGGGCAGCAGAGTTTTTGATATGACGTGACCTTTGGCTAAAACTGCTTTCAGCATTTATATCGAGCCACAGGGTTTGGACATTAGACGCTCTCAGAAGCACAGAGCAGAATATACGCTTACACACACCTACATGGCAGTGACACAGCTGATGAAAAACATACCTTTCCCTGAGTAAATTATTTCTGCTAGCTGAAAAGCAAATTTCATTTTCTCTTGTCTCCTGACAACAAAGATGCTGAACCCATTACTGGCTGAGGCCTCTGCATCACACACATTAAATGAAGGGTCCTCTAGCAATCGAAAAAAGCAATTTTCTCATTGAGCCAATAGATACTCCATTTAGTTCCGGGCTCTCTACGGACCGCTGCTGCCGTAGTAGAGGGGCTGATACAGGGGAAAGAGAGCGTGGAATGATGACCCAGCCTCGTTTCCCCCCTCTGCATTCGCTGAACCCATCGATACAGATACAGGCATGCCTGGAACACTGGATGAGGGGGAATGAAGAAGAGGGAGGATGGGGGGGAAGAGGAAGAAAAGAATAATAGATGAGATGATACAGGGGAGGACAGATCAAGGCGGAGGGAGGAGGTTGTGGATGTGAAATCAGAGCCAGTAATTGAATGACATGGCCAAAAAAGGCAGGAGCAGCCTAATTTACAGGCACATCAAGGGATATTAAGGAAAGAGTGAAAGTGTGAAAGGGGTGAGGACAAGGGGGAGACAGAAATCGGAGGCAGGCACCCAACCATGTGGAACCACAGATTGATTAATTTCAGGCCTTTAATGAGTGCTGCTCTGCCAGACCAGGCGGCATCAAGTCAGTCACCCCGTGTCTCTCTGCAGGAGCTGCCATACACTGAAATCCTCACTTTTTTGTCTCTGCCAAGGACAGTGAACTAACTCACACACATGCAAACACACAGATTTTTCTCTCACACTCTCTTCCTGTTCATTTGTTTTAGCTGTTCCCCTAATCGTTGGCTCTGTGAATGTGTGATTAAGAGCAACACATTATCAGAGGCACGATTAAAATGAGCGCGCTGATCACCGGCGGCAAGTCTCACACCAGGTGCTCTGGTGTGTCTGTAGGCGGAATAAAATACCAGCTTGGCTCAGAGGAGACGTGAAATACACTCGAACAGGCTCGCTTCTAATTGCCATCCTCCACATTGTTGCTGCTAACCTTTATCCTCTGTGTAATTTACACTGAAGGTTTACTAACCCCTGTTGTTTGCATTTGTACTTTGTATCCCACAGACATCACTTGTGTGTGTGTCTGAGCAACCAAACTATTTCCCAACACTCATGTGAATCAAGCCGAGGAGAGAAAGGCTTCAGGCGGGGTTTAGTCATCCATGCTGGCAGCTGCTCCAAAAGCATCAATACTACTGTTTCTTTTGCTGCTTTTTTTTTTTCTCAACCCACAGCACAAGACAAATGTTCACCCACAACACGGGGAACAAACACGCCTCTGTTTTCAGTTCCTCTCTACAAATTGTTCAATCCTGATCATTAGGGTTTGGGAGGGAAAAAAAGAGGGTGGAACAGACAGAGAAAAAGACAAATAATGAGGAAATGTTGATATGATGTGGCAGTAAATCAGCTCATTAATCCTGACAGGAGACGACTGGGTGTGATGCGACTCTCCTCCTCACTTGCTGACAGACTGAACCAGCCTCAGAGAGATGGACTGCCGGGGTGAGTGGTTGAGGCAGGGAAATTCAGCACTCACCTGGACCACACTCTGTCTTAATGGGTCCCCTGGGATCAGTCTCTTATCGGGTAAAATCTGATTATAACCCGATTTCAAGTTGAAACCAAACAAATGCTCGAGCTGAAACTTTCTGAATCTGCACTTTGTTCGGCCAAACTTTGGAGAGAAGCAGTGATGCAATCTCCCTGAATTCACTTAGCAGTCACATGCTCTGTTTGTTAACTGTGTCCTCAGAGGTAGTATTGAGTTTTGAGTACTTTCTCAGAGCTCTTGAATGTGTCATGTTCACTCCAGCGGAGATCAGACAGACAGACACTGAAAGAAGAAGGATGAGGTGGTTTTTGGATGATGTATCAAAGTGATTAATGCAAACTGACAGTGAACTCCTGCCCTACAGCAAAGGTAGCACCGTCAGAGACATCCATCTGGTGATGACCCCATACATCCCTGCAGACAGCCCTCCTCCTCCTCCTCCTTGGTTATAGCTAAACCCCGTGGGAAGGATGCCAGCTTGGAGAGCTGACACACATTACTCCGGATTCCCCTCCGATGTCAAGTTTCTGTGGACTGCATTTTTACGCACATTTCTCACACTGATTCGTGGCACAGTAGCTAAGTCACCAGAGGCTGCTTAGTGTTTGTGTGCTCCCCTGAAGAAAAACAACACCGGCATGACCTGAGGTTAACTCAAGACTACATGCTGTAACACACAAATAAACGACTTAAACAATCGCTTTCTGGCAACGCGCAACAAAGCGTCAGCCTTTTACGCCCTGGGAATCCAAACGGGAGGAGAATTTGTAACTTGCGGCAACAAAGTAGGCACAACACGGCACATTGGACACGATGTTATGAATCATGAGCCCGCTTAGCGATAAAACACTCAGACAGTGTCATAATAGGTTTTCATTTTCACCCTATATGTAAGTTTGAGACACTTCATCAAAAGCAGAGATACATTTCTCTTACCTCAAAGCGCAGCTCAGTGCCCAAACCTCTGCCTGAGAGAGGCTGTGTTCCCGTGAAAAAAGACACGAATCAGCCGATTTGAGAAGCCTGGTACAGCTGGAGGTAAGTATTCAAATCAGCTAAGAACCAAAGCCGATCGGTGTGGTCGTCCTCGGAGGTGAACTGTGCCCACCAGCGTCCAGCGAGTAAAATCCACCGCTCCGAGGTCTGCGATTCCAATCTGAAGAAGCGTGTAGTGTGGAGGAGAGATTGGTGAGCAAACAGTTTTCCAAAGTCACTGAAAGCGGAGCGGCTCATCCAGCAGCCTGGTCCTCTCCGGGGGGCGGAGACTCTCCTCCGACCGGACACGCCTCCAGTTTACCTTCTCTGTCATATCGTGGCACCTACTGGAAAACGTTATAGGGATATTCCGGTGTAAAATTAATTTAGGTCAAAAACACCATAACACCGAGTTAGACACCCCTTCGAGAGATGAATGTTGCCGACCGCTTGCTTCTCTAGTTATACCAACTTAAGTAACGACCGCAGGATAGCAATACACAGCGGTCTATGGAACCATAAACAAACCTCGACCAAAACGCCACTCTATCGCCACAAAAGAACAGCCCCTAACTTCATCAACAGTACATATAGGGTCTTAGCCACAGCACTAGCCTCCAAACATCTTTTTAACTTTGCCTAGCTAGCAGTCAAGCAGGAAGTGGAACACATTACAAGTATTAGCCCTGCTGTGCCAATCTCAAACTGTGTCAGAATCAGCTAGCACTTTGAAAGTTTACTTTGTTCACAAAAAGTGTTTAAGGTAGTCACAGTTTTAGAGGGGTTTACGCTGCATTCCACTAACTACAACTAAAAACCGCTAACAACGGCTAGCTACAGCTGACAACCACAGCTGACAGTTGTAAACAGCAGCTAACAACGGCTAACTGTAGGCGTCCATCTTGGTTTTCCGACTTGTTAACTGGAACACTGTCAACTCGGGTGTAACGTCATTCCCAGCTCCGACATTGGACTTCTGAGGTAACTGGAACACAGCAAAAGATAACGTAGCAAAAAAAGAAATTGTACAATAAGTTTAAAAAAATGTATTTCAACCCACTCACTTAACTAATAATATTTTAGTTTGTTTTAAATGATGTGTGCGCAACTAACCTTGTTAAGCAGCTAGCCAAGTAAATCTAAATGGCTGTTAGCTGTAGTGTCATGTTTAACTAATAAAACTCATGCTGAGTTAATAAATCTACCGTAAATAGGCTATCGAGGTTCCATAGCTGCCAATGTTCACGCATTTGCCATGAGACACACATTCACACGCTCACATGCCACACCCGATTTCTTATGCTTAGGTGTCTGACACACCTGAAAAGGGGAACCACTGATTTACGGTAAGCGGAAAATGTTTTTGCTGTATGATTATGATCCTGAATGGACCAAACAAAAAACTGCTGGGTATACAGAAAAATTTGGTTGACCCAACCAAATATCATTTCAAAGTTTTTTGAAAAGTTGACACCCCCAAGTTTCATGTGTTTACTCTATCTTGTGTTGCAAATGATCAACTTCCAGTAAAAACAACAAATTATACTGCCAAATAATTAAAAAATGGGAGTCTAATCATATTGTAGGCAATTGTGTCACAATTCAGCTGGATATCAAGTCCCGTCTTGAATTTTCCTGTGATACAAAATGCCAATTATTTTGGAGCAGATCAGAACTGAGTGGTGTTGTTTTGTTCGTCAGTAATTTGAGACATCATTTTTATACAAATTTCATTATGCAGATTTTTATGCCTCAGTTGATAAATGCCTTTTGTTTTGAACTGCAGGACTTACATATTCATTTTTATATGTATATTTTGTAGACACTCGCTACTAGATAATGATGACAAGATGAAAAAGTTTTGCCACACATTGTACAACAAATTACTGCTTGTAGAGAGCATCCTGAGGGAGAAAGTAATGACATCTTTGTGGAAGTAATGAGTGTCGCTTTCTTGAGAAATAAGCTTAGCGTTGTTTTTGATCCCAGTAACAGATAAGTGACAACTCTCAGATATGCAGCTGATAGTTTGTGTTTGTCCCTTGTTAATTATTCATGCTGTGTGCCTCTCTCCCAGCCAGAAAACAAGAGAAGTGCTTTTGTTTCGGGTTTAGGGGGGTGAGAAAAGGGGGGGGTCTAAAGTGTTTTCTACCCCTCTGCGCTCCTCGTGTCACAAAATCTACTACAGATGGAGAGCAAGATAAGCGCTCCAGAGACTGATCTTTTTGCCTTCTCCGCTAAGGTCGTGACACTGACATTCCCAGTGGCATACGTGATACTTCCAACCCCCAGTCTCCTTGTGTTTTCTCCTGATCCCTTTCTCATTGGTCCTTAGGAATTTTGCACAGTTAAGAGCATTTTTAAGTCAAGAACTACTGACAACCTTTGGCTTAAAGTGAAGTTGTAACAAGGCATAGAGAGGGTTACATTCGGAGAGTAGTCAGGAGATCTATAGATGCACAGGGCCTCCGTCTGTGTAAAAAAAGCATAGCAAGAATGGCTTGGCTGCAGAGGGAACAGCTGTGAGGTATTTTCTTTTTGGCTCCTTGAGTATTTTCAGAGGGAGTGTAGAGAAGGCTGAGGTGAATCACTAACTAAAGCGCCTCCTACCCCCGCTTTGAAGCACTCATATGGATCACTGGTGTTGGGAGAAGTCATCTCTTCTTAGGCCTTAACACTACTCAGTTCAGTGATCATGCGATGTTCCTTGTTAATCAATAATGGATCAACAAATGTAATGATCCGAGGCCTATTGGTTCGGTTCATTATCTGATACAAGTTAAACAGGATAAAGACATGGGGACAATGGTTTTTGCAGAGCCCGAAGGTCAATTTTGATGTTATTCTGGAAAAAGTTTAAACTGATATGAAGTTTTGTTAATTTAACAGATTGAGTTTAGTTTACTCAAGGTTTTGCTCTTGTTTTATGCAGATAGAGTCAGTATATGTAACTAAAGAGCTCAAGAAAGCCGTGTTGAGGTTAAAACATCAGGGGAATAAAGATTACTATTTGGTGCTTTTCGTTTGAGCTAAAATCCCTTGAAACCCATTTTTTCCTGGCATGATGACATGGTCTGCAGTCAACATGTTCCTCCTACATTAGTGCTGCTGGCAATATAGTCTACTCCTGGATCCATGTTAATCACATCACACACACACTGTTAGGCAGACTCTATGCTAACCTATAGGCTGATTCTTGCATGCACATTCTTATCACACACAAACCCTTTTAATTCAATTTACACAGCCCGCGCTTCAATTTCACACACATAGCATCATACCACATGCTATCTCATTAAACAGGCTGTGGACATGCTTCACAAGCTCTCCCAAAGTAGGCCTCATTGTTCACACACACAGATACACACAGGGGATATAGTCTGAGGAATTCCCCAGCAACAGCATAGGAACGATATGATACCTCGTGTGTAATATGAAGCTGGATTGGTTTGTCTTTAAATGTTTATTTTAAATGGCAGTCTTAAAATATTACGCCACGGGATGTAATTTTAGCAGTCTGTGGTTGCTGTGTGGAGATAAAACTGTGTTTGTTTGTTTGTTTTACAGGTTTGAAATGGCATCCAAGCTGGAGTCTTTAGTTCCCAAATGTGCTGCTTCTTTTCTAATCAAAGTGACATGCATATTTTGTTGGAAAAAAAAGGTTGTTTATTCAATATGGGGCAGGTTTAACCATTGAGGCAGTTTTGTAAACAACCAATATGACTATATGAAATATTTTTCATACACCATAATGTCTTGACTAAAAGCACCACTGGAAGTTTTAACTGCTTTTGAAGGAGTGCCGCTCTTTTACTAGTGCTTTTTCATGACCTACAAAGTAAAATGAGGTTAACAGGGACAAGATTGGTTTCATCTATACACTGGATATCGGCGCCTGTGTTCAAGTTAAATCTTCCTTATGTAAAGGCTTGTTCGACATTCAGCACTGGAAATGTCCATCTGTAAAGCTCTGCTGGTTGAGTTTGGGATTAAGAGGGTAACAAAGGATTAGATAGCGGAGCAGAATTAGCAAAAAAGATTGCATGATTTCTGTTCAAGTATTGTTTGAGATAGAGATACATCATAACCAAGGCTTTTGTAGGTAAAATAGCTAAATGGTTATGGACAGGATTTGATGTTTATTCTGTTTTGATTAAGATTTCATTAAATATTTGCTGACGCATTTACACATAACTTTGCATTAGACTTTGTAAAATTCTAGATTCTAAATTCATTTGAAAAGTTTTCATTGTTATGCTGAGTTAACTCAGGAGTCAGAAGTCCGAGCTGAAAATGAGGTCACACCCGCGTTAACCAGAGGCAGAAACAAGATGGTTACATCTACAAAAGTTATTTTAGCGCTTGCCTTGTCCTTGCTTATATTCAGACAAGGCAAGCGCCAAAATAACTCAGATGTAGCCATCTTGTTTCAGGCCTCCGATTTTGTTTTTTTCCGACTTTGGAACTGAAACTCCGGTTAACTCAGGTGTGACGTCATTTTCAGCTCTGAAATCTGACATCCCAGGTAACTCAAACACAGCATTACTGTCAACGTGTGTTGGTTCCAAAAACCAAGTGTTGATTTCGTGAACAACCAACAATCGGTATCTGTATTAACCCTGTAAAACCATGATGGCTGACCCGTACTTTGCTACTCTGTGTACAAAAGACTTCAACCGTGTGCATATTTACAGTTGGGCCTTTATTGGGACACCATGGCACACAACATGACACCAGGAGTGAGACAGGTGATGTGAAAGCAGTACGTCTGGACACCTTTCAGCTAGCAAACTGTGATAAATCTAAGCTTACAAAGTTTTGCTGTTGCGGTAGAGTTTGTTATTTAACAGATTAATCAATACATTACCTCATCACATTATTTATTGCTCTTGCAATAAATAATGTCTTTAAATAAACCTGATGTAGTTTCTGTACACTATGAATGTTTAATTTATTCACCAACTAAAATGTAAATCTGACCAGAAAAAAAGATGCTGGCGTTATTTATTAGAGAGCATCAACCAAAGACTGTTCTGTTGCATTTAAACCTACTGCTGGCGCCACTGTTTCTGTTCACTGTTTGGCAAGAAACATTAAACCCCAAGTTAAAACCATTACTTGTCCCAGAGAGAGACTTGGCTTTTAATCTGCTTAAGTTCAGACCCACTTATGGAAATTAAAAAGTTAGTTTGGAACTTTCAAACCAAAAACTGGAGAAAAAATCTCACAGGATGAGTCATGAAACTCTACTGATTGCTTTTATGATTCATTCATAATAGGGTTTTCGTTTCATTTGCTCAGGCAAACCAAGCAAGAAGGTTCTGCCCCCAACTGTGCATTTTGTCTCTCATTATTCTAATAAGTGCAACATCTCTAAAAATGCACAGTAAGAGACAGAAACACAGACACACATCGAGACGTTTAATACATGAGTTCAGCCTCAATCTGTCAGGGGGCATCAGCCAGTGCCCAGAGGAGATGTGTCCTGCCTCATGGTGTCCTGCACCCTCTTTGACTGCAGGTCCTGAATTAAAAGACAAGGAGGAAGGGTGTAGACGGGCAGAACTCATCCACTAGCTGCCCTGTAAGGAAGTAATGCACACATTAACTTATCCTGCTGCTGAAAAGACTTTAATGTTCTATTGCATACTAAGTCGTAATGTCGATCTTGAGGCATTTCTTTTGGAAAATGCACCTTCTTAACCTAGATATTTTAACAGAAACCATCTCCGAGTGGCAAACACCCCCCCAAGAATATGTGTGAGACACGGTTCAGATTCAGTGTGCTTTCACATGAAATCGTCTGTGAATTCATGCATCTCCATCTGGCTTCGGGAGCCTGTGTCTGTCACATCGCCAAGCTCACAAAGAACACAGGGTGCAGGAGGGTGACAATGGAAATAACAGTTTTACTCTTAAGCCAGCATGTAATGAATCATCTTTATTTGGAAACACACCTTCAGCTTGACAAACTCCAGTTATAATGTGTATTACCTGGCGGTAACCTAGCAACAACCCCCTTCATTGAACAAATCCATTGGAGGGCAAAGGCATGAAAAGAGAAAAACAAAGTATTGACATGCAGCATCTGAAATAAGAAGTGTGTTTAATGCTTTATATGTTAAGACGTTGCCAAACTGTGTTTTATTTGAACTCTTCTGGTTTCTGCGCGTTATCATCTGCTTGTAAAAACACCTGTAGGCGATCTTGTGTGAAGCTCTCCTCCACCTTAGTAATTACGGTGCCTGTCTACTTGCTGTAGCTCAGTCGGTGACAGGAGCCTGAAGAAACCAGAGAGGGTAGGAGGGAATGTGCAGAGATGTGTGTCAGTCTGCTGAGATATTTCTTTATATATTTTTTTTCTGTCTTTCTTTCATCTGGTGGCACCGAGCTTAACCAGGCAGGAGAGAGCTCACACATGAGGCACAGAGGCTGAGAGTAAATGGAGAGTGTAAAGATGGAAACAAGGAATGATTGGACCTTTTTTTGCCCTTGTTCCTTATTTATATATATAGTAAATTTAGCCCACCCCCACCCCCAGCCTTCCCCTCTTCTCTTGCACCCCTCGTGAGTGCAGCCATTTCTTTGCTGTCCTGCAGTGACAGGCCAAGCGTGGCTGAACTCCCCTCATCGACTGTACCTCCAGTGTTCCCAGGAGGATGAACTGGCTGGTGAAAGTAGGCCAGGGGAGCCACCACAGCACCCCTTCCTCCCCTCCTACTCCTTCTCCCCCTCCTTCATCTCCTCCTCCAGAAATCTGATTCACTGGAAGGGGAAAGATCCATTTGTCTGTCACACAGAATTTCTCTTCCCCTCTATCCTATTCGGGGATTTCATTTACCTCAGAGACGATATGCATTTTTAACTCGGTAAATTTATTTCTCATACTCGCTCTCTTGCTGTAGGTGTGCTATAAATTTACCGCCTGCATTTTGACAAGACATCACTGTTTAGCTTGACTCAAACAGGTTCGAACCACTTCTTCTGTCAGGGGGACTGTGGTTGAGTGTGCAGCACAAGTATGGAGTTTTGTGGTTGCTGGTCCAGCCCAGACACATTTTCTGGTCTCAGAGTCTTGGAGGTGGAACAGTGGGATATAAAAGATTTCTAAAAAATGAATAATGGCTTGTCGACTGGGGCTTTGTCGGTGTAGTGTACTGTAAAATGTTGTTTAGCAAAATAATGATTTAAAAAAAAACTTAAAAGTGCAACTTCCACTGTCATGTTATTGAATGCCCTCATTTATGATAATGACAATAACCTCACAAAAAGCAGTACAGTGGAGGCCAAATAAGGAAGTTGGAAACAAAAATATATATAAATATATATAATTGTGGATGTGTAAGCAACTCATTTACTTGTGGTTTAAAATTCAAAATCTGACCAACTGGCTGGTCTTTAAGTTACCGGGAGGTGTTTCTGATAGGTTATTGTTCCTTTGCTTATTGCAAATATCAACGGGAAGTGATCAGTTTTCACTTTCATTTTGTGTCAATTAATACCACTTTCACAAGGGTCGGACAAAATCAGCGACCATACAAGGATTACCACTTTGTCCACAGGAGGCGCCAAAATCACAGTTGATAAAGAGTTCCTCACTGGAGCTTTAAAGTATACAAAACAAAAAAACTCAGAAAACAGTCCAAGATTGATTTCGAACAGGATCACAGAATCTAGAGGTAAAAGTGTCAAATTGTTTCTCTAAGCATGGCTAATGTTAGCAGAGCTAGCATCAGCAGCCTGAAGTTTTGCTCACATGTTAATGTTCACATGTCTGTGCTGGTAATCCATCTCTCTGGTCAAGTGGTTATATGCCAATTAAACCAGACAGAGCATACATATAACTTTATCTTTATTTTCTAGGTTAAAATTTACACTCTGTGCTGCCATCTGTCATCTGAGATCTCCTCTATAAAAGTGTGTTCAAAGAGCCCTGCAGCCTTTTAGTCTTTGGTCCGGCATTTTAAGCAGACTACAGACCTTAGTAAAAAAAGGTTATATGTACCCCCATGCTCATACTGCACTAAAAGGTCAGAGACAAAGCACAAAGAAGTATTGAAATTGTAATTTGTCAGAGGAAATATGGAGATATGGACTGTTTTTCTGAAAACTTCATGAAAGTGTTAGAACAAAAATCTAATTTACACCATTAAAGAACAACATGTGCTCTTTACAACTGAATTTCATCAGTTAAATTAACCACTGGTATTCATTCAAGTCATCATTTAAACATACAACATAAGATGAAGAAGTCTACTGTTTGTACTGAAAGGGTTTTGTGTTTTACAGTGTATTTTTGAGGCTCGTCTGCAGAGGCCCGGGTTTCTGGTTTGAGACTGAGGAGCAGCATCCGGGTGTGGAAACAACATTGTCATGGTGGTCACTATTTTAATGTGCCTCCGGCCTGCAGGACACCCTGCTGACCAAGATTAATGCTGAGAGCTGTTAATACAGTTTGAGCTGATGTGGTGTGACTTTCACAACCATAACTCTTGTGACTGTCCCATCTCACCACTGATGCTGTTTTTTTTTCTTCACAAAGCCGATAATGACGTTCCCAGACTTGGTTCTGGACTTGTTACACTTAATGCTTCAGTCTTTTTACACATGATCAGGTAATTTTCCTCCTTCCCTGTGGAGGACTGGTATACAGAAATGAAATATGGATGCAGCTTGAAATCAACTCCAGCGGCTTCCAATCTCTTGAATCAACTTTGGGGATGTTTTCTCTGCCAACTCCTGCTTGGATACCAACACTTCCTTAGCAACTGCATGACCAGGGGTTATATACGTACGTTTAATGCTGACAGGAGCTGCAGGGCTCAGCTGTTGATGGAGCACAGTTATCCTTTTTCTCATTACTGTCTGCTTGATGTGAGATCCAGAGGGCTCAGGGACAACCATCAGGGACTTCTACGTATATGTGAACAGTGTGGCCAATAAGAACGACAGGGGTGCTCCTCAGAAACACCTGTACAATACTCTGAGCTGATAGATAAGAAGACAAACACGGGATTTTCCTCATCACACTCCAGATGTTGTTGGATATGGATGAAAATGCGACTCCCAGAGAAAATTGAAAATTGCACAAACATGTTTAAAGTGTGAGAGTTTGCATGCTTCATTTGAGGGAACAGAAGACAAATAAGCTGCTCCTCCTGTGACAGCCGCGCCTGATGTGTTTTTACACGCACATGAAACAAAGCTTGGTCTTGATGGTTTTGATGTTATTTGACACACCTGGATAAATGTGTATTAAAGTATTGTTTTCAGTCTACACCAAATCACTTTAAATCTTGTAAATCAAAATGGCTCCAAAAATGAAAATCCTAGAGCATTTCTGCAAGGTTAGAGTAAAAAGCAAAATAATCACTGCATATCTTTATTGATCCACTCTCTCCATGCAGACAGCAGTAGTAGTGGACTCCCTGACCAGCCTCTGATGGTTACACAAGGTCAGCAGCTCAGGCTTTCATGTCCTGAAAATCCATGCAGCAGAAAACATTCAGCCTGAAAGCAACCATCAGTATTAATGTTACCATCTGGAATCAGCTGCAAAGGTCAAAGTCTGAAAAAAAATAGCAAACAGGTTTTTTAAATGTAGATTCAAATCTAGATTAAAGTGCACTTGGTTGAAAAACAGCAAATTATATTCACTGTTAGATAGGTTTCAATCATCTTGTTGTCTGCATAGACCTCAGAGCAGTCATGTTTTAAATGGAGAGTTTTTAAAAAAATGCATGTTTATATGAAATTGATAGTAAATGGACTCTCTCACATTCATCTTTTTTAAGCTTCACCTCAATCCTTTAGAGCCTTCTGTGCTTCAATCCCTGACCCTCAATCATTGACATTTCCTAACCTAAGTGAATGACTATATTCTACTATACAATCATTGGCAGATATTAAGTTCAAAAGCCAAGAAAATCCTGTTTCAGTGTGTTTTATCAGTTAAAAATGAGGAAAAATCTGTAGCTTTAAAACCTTAGAAACACGCTCAACTAAAGCTGACATAACTATCATATGTCGGTGTAATATTTGGCTAAAGGTTTAGACTTCACCACTCAAATATGGAGGGAAAATCTGCCTCATGAAAATGGTTTGGGTGACAGAGTTTAAACATCCCTTAGAAGTTCAAGGTAACAAAAACACCCAGTGAGTTATTCTTTATCTTTAAAAAAATAGCTTGTCCTGTGTCAATTTTGGCGCCCCCTGTGGACAGAGCAGTCTCTGCTTATCTTGTATTCTAACCTCTGCAGCGTAACCTCTTCATTATGACTTTTGATGGTCAAATATGTTGGTGTTCATCGTGATTATTTGAAATGAAAAATTACAAAGACCATGCTGTTTCTTCAGCTGTTTGGCTGACATCTACTTTCTCATGCTGGTTTCAGGCGTAAAAAATTACCATTTAAAAATCTGTCAGTCTTGTTGCTGACGGTGTTGTTTATTTTCACACATCATAAAAAGCTTCAGAATGAATTTTAGTCTTTCTTGTAAATGTAGAAAAAACTTCTCACCGGAGCTGTAATGCCAAAATTTCTAATATTTTCACCCAGAACATGAAAATATGGTATAGCATTTGCATGACAACAACTGAAACAGGAGAGCTCTTAAAGTTTCAGTTTTTACAGATTCACTGAGGATGACTCCATTTTGTTTATTCTTTATTAACCCACTTCCAAACAGCATTGTGTACAATTTGCTGTTGAGCTGCTGCATCACACCATACTAGATATTCTAAAAGAGTCATTTTATTATCAGTACTGAATCCTTGGAGCTGAAAATAAGAGAGCAATAATGGTTCGGCCAACTATTTGAAACATCATTTATCGAGCTCAGCTGTCAGTTAAGAGGAGTGATGAATAAGAAATGAACAGCTGTTTGTCCACTAAAGTAAAGATGACCCCTATTACATCTGAGTGATGTGACACATTAATTTATCCGTGGATCTCAGTTTCATTATTCCAAGATGTGATCGGTGTCTAAAGATAATCCAGGTGATTGATTGGATCGGTCTTTCCTGAGAAACAGCGGCACAACAGTGTAATTATATCTGCACAAGGACAAGACAAGGTGGAAGTAGAGGGTCCGATTGGACGTTTATCCTCATATCACTATCCGCTGTGATTCAAGGCTCAACCGATGAGCTGTGAAACACCATCTTATGAGATCAAGATTCATCTGTTGGAGCATCAGAGAGTAAATGGCAAACATGTCAAACACCGTACAGGATGGAAAAGGGAAGTAATGAGGAAAAAAGGAGAGGCAGAGCAGAGGAGATTGACTCCTATTTCTTCTTCATGTCAAATCTCAGCAGGAGGTTTCAGGGGAAACACCTGACTCTTGAGTTTCTGATAAAAACTCATTTTTAAATCATAAATCCGAGAGCCGCAGTCCGCCAGGAGAGCAGCGATGCCTTTTTGTGTTAGCAGTGTACATATTCTTAATAAAAAGGACCTGATTCTTTGATGTGATATTCAGATTCCCTCAGGGTGAATGTGCAATTTGCTCTGACTCAGTGATACCACTCACAAAATGACAGATGCATGAAACTTTCAGGTGGGTTGTGGATCTGGGGGATACCGCTCGAGCAAAAACACGAGCCACCTCCATCAGTTTTTCTCATTTAAAGCTCTGCAGGAAAACTTGTTGTATATCAGCTCTGACCACTCACCACCTTGCGTCAAGATTTTCCAGCTCAGCTGCTTTTCCGTTTCTTCATTAAACTGTTTTTCCTGAAGGAAAGTGCGCTGTTGATTACA